TTCTCTAAGTACACTCTAGCCCTAATGACTGCCTTCCTCCTATGGGTTGAGGGTTTCCTATCCAAGATCCTTTACATATTTTATTCTCTCCACAATATTTCTCTTCTCCATCTCTCCCAACTGTTACTCATTTTTCAGTCTATTTTTAAATGTCAGATCCTCAGAAATGCAGCCTCTTAACTACAAAATCTGATTTAGGGCTCCTTTTTTATTCCCTTGCAAAATAGCCTCCAGTTATTTTTTTCTTTCAATTAGTTTCAATTTCAATATAAATAAATGCATTTATATTTATAGTCTGTCTTCCAACATAATCATTTTGTTCACTTTTCTACCCAGCAACCAGAACAGTTTCTGACTTGTAGCAGACAGTATTTTTTGAATGAGAATGAATGAGCTTTGTTAACTGAAGAGATTTTTATAACTTTTTTTTGCTCTGTTCTAGCCAAGATACCATTTTGATTATGATTTTTCTTCCCACATAGCTTGATAACTAGGATAGAATGCACTGATCACTTGAGAAATATCTCTGAGTTTAAAAAGTGATCTTCACAACACATTTTCAGGATAAATACACACACACAAACTAGGAATAGAAGGAACTTGTCTCAACATAATGGAAGCTGTATACTAAAAACAGGGTTTCCCAGGTGGTGCTAGTGGTAAAGAACCCGCCTGCCAATGCAGGAGACTGAAGAGACGAGGGTTTGATCCCTGAGTCGGGAAGATGCTCTGGAGGAGAGCATGGCCAACCCACTCCAGTATTCTTGGCTGGAGAATCCCATGGAAGAGGAGCCTGGTGGGCTACGGTCCAAAGGGTAACAAAGAATCTGAAGTGACTCAGCACACACAATGAACATCATCATGAAAACCTGAAAGCTTTTCCCTTAAGATCCAGAACCAGGTAGGGATGTTTGATTAGAATTAGGAAGTTCTGTTGTTGTTTATTTGCCAAGTCATGTCCGACTCTTTTGCGACTCTATGAGCTGTAGCTCGCCAGGCTCCTCTGTCCATGGGATTTCCCAGTCAAGAATACTGGAGTGGGTTGCCATTTCCTACTCCAGGGGATCTTCCTGACCCAGGGATTTAACCTGCGTCTCCTGCATCTCCTGCACTGCAGGTAAATTCTTTACCACTGAGCCACCAGGAAAGCCCAGGAAGTTCTAGTCAGAGTAATTAGGCAAGAAAAAGACACAAAGGCATCCAAATTGGAAAGGAAAAAATAAAATTATCTGCAGATTGTTTGATATTCCATGTAGAAAACTCTAGATTTCATACACAGAAGAAAAAAATCTATTATAATTAATAAATGCACTCAGCAAAGCAACAAAATATAAGATCAACACACAAGTCAGTTGTATTTCTATGGACCAACAATGAACAATCTGAAAAGGAAATTACAAAAACAATTCCATTTACAATAGTATAAAACAGATTTAGGAATGAACTTAACCAAGGAGGTGAAAGGCTTGTGCAATGAAAATTATTGCTGAAATATGTTGCTGAAAGAAATTAAAATAGGTGGAAACACATCCCATGTTCATGAATTGGAAGGCTTAATTAAAAAGTCAATACTACCCAAACCAATCTACAGATTCAATCACTATCAAAATCCCTTTGACCTTTTTGCAGAAATAGAAGCAACTATCCTAAATTCATGTGGAATCTCACAGCATTCTGACTAACCGAAACTATCTCACAAAAGAACAACACTGGAGGATTCAACACTTTCTGATTTTAAGAACTTACTACAAAGCTACAGTAATAAAGTGTGATACCATATAAAACAGACATATAGACCAATGGAATAGAATAGAGAACCCAGAAATAAACCATTACATATATGGTGATATTGTTTTGGACAAGGGGTTCAAGACCACTCAATGGGGAAAGGACAGACTTTTCAATAAGTGGTGTTAGGAAAACTGGATATCCACATTCAGAAGAATGAAGCTGGATCCCATCTAACATTATATATAAACCTTAGCTCAAAATGAATCAAATACCTAAATGTAAGACCTAAAACAATAAAACTCTTGGGAGGAAAAAATGTAGGATAAAATGTTTACAACTTTGGATTTGGCAGTGATACCATCTTGGATATGATACCAAATGCACAGGTAACAAAGGAAAAAACAGACACATTTGACTTCATGAAAACTGAAAATTTCTGTATATGAAAAGACTATCAATAAAGTAAAAAGGTAACCCATAGAAGAAAATATTTGCAAATCTTATATTTGATCCAGGATTAAGACCCAGATTATACAGAAAACTCATAAAACTCAACGAGAGAACCAAACAACCCAATTTACAAAATGGGCAAAGGGCTTGAATAGACATTTTTCCACAGAAGATATACAAATGGCTCGGCAGTAAACAATCCACCTGCAAGGCAGGAGACACAGGTTTGATTCCTAAATCAGGAAGATCCCCTGGAGAAGGAAATGGCAACCCAATCCAGTATTCTTGCCCAGGAATTCCCATGGACCGAGGAGCCTGTTGGGCTATAGTCCATGAGGTCCCAAAAGAGTCAGACACGACTGAACACGCACACACTACACACACAACAATAAGCATGAGAAAAGATACTTAACATCACTAATCAGTAGAGAAATGCAAATCAAAACTAAAATGAGGTAACACCTCCCAACTATTAGTGGGAGTGGTAGTATGATGACTACCGAAAAACAGAAAAGACAAGTGTTGGCAAGAATGTGGAGAAATTGGAACCCTTGTACAGCACTGGTGGGAAGGTAAAATGAATATTCACTGGAAGGACTGATGCTGAAGCACCAGTATTTGGTCATCTGATGCGAACAGACAACTCATTGGAAAAGTCCCTGATACTGGGAAAGATTGAGGGTAGAAGGAGTAGAGGGCATCAGAGGATGAGATGGTTGGACAGCATCACTGATGCAATGAAGATGAACTTTGGCAAACTACAGGATGTGGTGAGGGACAGGGAGGCCTGGTGTGCTGCAGTCCATGGGGTTGCAAAGAGTTGGACGTGACTGGGCGGCTAAACAACAGCAAAATGGTACAGCAGCAATGGAGAGTATGACAGGTCCTCAAAAAATTAAAAATATAATAACCATATGATTCAGCAAATCTACTTTTGGACTTATGACCAAAAGAATTGAAAGCAGGGTTTTGAAGAGATATATGTACACTCATGATCATAGCAGCATTATTTACAACAGCTAAAACGTGGAAGCAAATCAAGTGTCCATCTACAGAAGGACAGATAAGCAAAATGTGGTATATACAGACGGAGTTCTCTCTCTCTTTTTTTTTCCTTTATGGCTGCACTACACAGCATGCAGAACTTCCCCAACCAGGGACTGAACCCACGGCCCCTGCAGTGGAAGCGCAGAGTCTTAACCATGGGATGGCCAGGGAAGTCCCCAGACAATGGAGTATTATTGTTTTACAAAGGAAGAAAATTCTAGATAAGTGAGAATTTATCATATACAGTTGAATCTTGAATGACGCAAGTTTGAACTGTGTGGGTCCACTTACATGTGGACTCTTTTCAATAGTAATCACTATGGTACTATGTGACCTGTGGTTGGTTGACTCTGAGGGAACAAAACCATGAACATGGAGAAACCGAGTAGACAAAAAGCTGACTATGCAGATTTTCAACTGGGTGGAGGATTAGTGCCCCTAGCCCTTGTATGGTTAAAGGGTCAGCTATATATATTTTTTACATCTGTCCTGAAGTAATAAAGGAATAAAGAAATGATGCCTATACACAGATGTGACAAAAAGTTTACAGTGAGTTTTCAAAAATATTTGTATACAAAAATTTTTTTTTTAATTTTGTGTGTGTGTGTAATAAAGTTTTATTAAAGTATAAAGGAGATAGAGAAAGCTTCTGACCTAGGCATCAGAAGGGGGCAAAAGAGTACCCCCTATACAAAAATTTTTAACTAAAGTAAGCTTTTCTACAATGCTTGCAAATTCTGTGCTTGTGAAAAAGATTGAAAAAAATTGTCATTTTTTTTCCTGTGTTGTCTGTAGAATAAAAATTGGCATAAATAGTAAAAATTGTTATTGCTCTGATATTTTGTAATTTCATATATTTTACCAAATTTATATAATTTAAAATTTCATAAAATAATCTTTTCCTTCTTGAATACTTATAGGCTCATTTATTTTGAGTTGAAGACAGCTCTACTTACATAAACTTATTGCTTAATAAATTATGTAACCTTACAAATAGAAACATCAGAATTCACAAAATAGAGAAAGCCAAAAAGTAAAAATAATATCCCATATTAGTGGAATACATATAGTAAATTATAGAATATAAGGCACCTAGAATAGCAGGTTTTGAAAGTCGAATGTCAGAAGGAAGGTGATTCTCTTTAACAATCCTCAGTGATACAATTTATAAGTTTTCTCCGTGATTTTATGTTATTTTCTTAATTTTTCTTCCTTCAAATGTAAACCTCTCAGCGTATATAACATTATGGATATTGAAAATATTAATAGGTGTGAATAGCTGCAAATGACATAGGCTACCAGAGAATACATGTAATTTGTGGATCTCTGGAACAATATGTAGAAAACACTTCAGAGTAGTAAAAGTACAGAGTACATAGTTATTTCTAATTCAAAATACTTCACAGTTTTTAACCTGGCGTTTCTTGCATTAACACAGTGAAGAAAAAAAATGTGAAGTTCTGAGTGCTAAGTTTTTCAGGACCCAGAAATGAATATTTATCTGAAACAAGTATAATGAATTATGCTATAGAACTGGAAAATCTAAAATCAAACTTTAATCAGGTTACAAGGAAACCCTGATGCTAGTAAAAAACTTTTTTTTTCTATGTAAGTAAATAATCCAATTATTCTTTAAACACTGCTTAAGCATTTTGGTAAAGACTTTTTCTATTCTTCATAGTATTTTCCTCCTTGAAAAAATTTATGGTTTCATTTTTATGTTTTCTGTGTTTTTTTCCATGTGCTAAAATGATTTTATTTTTTAAAACCCACTATTTCTTATTAGCAATATAAATGACTTTGTGCTTTTCGAGGACACCAATGTCGTGCTCCAGCTGCTTCATCTCTTCCTCCAGCTTCTGCTTGCGAATCTTCTTTGGTATGGAGTCAATGAAGACAGAGAGGGACTGAAACTCCTTATGCACCTCTTCCCAGTTCTTTTTCAGCCCCTGCAAATGGTAAAGAAAACTGTATATACCAAAGCAAACCACAGGAGCAGAGTAAATCACAAAGAAAATTGCACTGGGAGGAAAAATGTAAACAGGTAAAGAAAACTGACAAAAATAACCAAAAAATGATACGTGTTTATCAAGTTCTTGGCCACAGTAACAAAACAGACTGTATAGAGGCCAAACCCTGTCCTTGATTGTGTGCTCAATTCCCATTGGGAGTATTTATTTTCTTTGTTTTTCATCTTACTGTACTTGTTTTTACCATCAAATACATGTATGTGGAATTATAAGTAGTATGAAACTAAGCTCTTAGCATATGCTTTGGTAAAAACAACTTAGAATTGATATCCCCAAGCAAAAAAAAAAATTTTTTTGAACAGGAAAATATTTCTTATAAAAATTTTAGTTTTTTTCTTTAGAAAAAAATATTATCCTTATTCTTCAACAGAGAAATCATCAAAACACTAGATTCTAACATACATGGACATGTTTTCTTGTCTCCGACTAAATGCAATCATATAAAATGATGAAATTCAAATTAACAAGAGATGATCTTTTATGTGCTTTCAATATCAGGAGGAATTCTTGCCCCACATAGTGAAGAGATCTATACTTCCCATTAATCTCTTCTACAAATGACTGAAATGTCATGCTAATTCAATAAGGTCTGTGTGTGAGCTTAGTTGCTCAGTCAAGCCCAACTCTGCGACCCCGTGGACTGCAGCCCGCCAGGCTCCTCTGTCCATGGGGATTCTCCAGACAAGAATACTGGAGTGGGTTGCCATGCCCTCCTCCAGGGGATCTTCCCAACTCAGGGATTAAACCCAGGTCTCCTGCATTGCAGGCAGATTCTTTACCATCTGAGCCACCAATTCAATAAGGTAGTTAATGTTTAATGTTCTCAGAAACCAACAAATTCAAATTTAGGAATCTCCTTAGGAACAATAATGGTTATTTCCATCTCTGCTTAGTTATTATTTCTTACCACAATGCTCTAGAAGCCCCACTGACAAAATGATCAAACTAATTGAACTCATGCAATGAAATTTTATAAATTAATACTTTCTGTTGTTCACAATGGGTACACCAATCATGTTATTTACACAAAAATGGAAAGTAAAACAAAATGGAATATTGCCTCGAAATTATGATCCCTGACACACAGATGGAGAAAGATATCTCATTCAAATGTAAACCAAAAGGAAGTTGGGGTAGATATACTTATGTCAGAAAAATCTGACTTTAAAAGTAAGACTGTAATAAGAGAAAAAGGGCATTACATAATGATAAAGTGGTTGATATAACAAGAGTATATAACATCTGTAAATATTTATGTGCCCAACATGTGAAGTGAATGAAGTGAAAGTCACTCAGCTGTGTCTGACTCTTTGCGATGCTATGGACTATACAGTCCATGGAATTCTCCAGGCCAGAATACTGGAGTGGGTAGCCTTTCCCTTCTCCAGGGTATCTTCCCAACCCAGGGATCAAACCCAGATTTCCCACACTGCAGGCAGATTCTTTACCAGCTGAGCCACAAGGGAAGCCCAACGTAGGAGTGTCATAATGTACAAGGCAAATATTACAAATTTAAAGCAAAAAACAGACAGCACTATGATTATAGTAGGGGACTTTTAATACCCTACTTACACTAATGAATAGATCATCCAGACAGAAAATCAGTAAGGAAGCATTGACTTTAAATGACAGGTTATATCAGATGGATTTTACAGAAATATAAAAAATTTTCCATCCAAATGACTAAAAAAGCACACTCTTCTCAAGTGTACATAGAATATTCTCCAGAACATATCGTATATTAGGTCACAAATCAAGTCTTAATAAATTTAAGAGGACTAAAATCATATCAAATATATTTTCTGATCACAGTGGTATGAAACTAGAAACCAATCATACAAAAAAAATTAGAAAATTCATGAATAAGTGGAGATTAAACAACATGATACTGAACAATCAATGGGTCAAAGAAGAAATTAAAAGAGAAGTTTAAAAATACCTTGAGTCAAACTAAAATGGAAATATACTAATATTTATAAGATTCAGCAAAAGCAGTTCAAAAATGGAAGTTCATAGTAATAAATGCCTACCTCAAGAAACAAGAACAATCTCAAATAAACAGCCTAACATTACACACCTCTAGGAACCAGAAAAAGAAGAACAAAGCCCAAAGTTAGTAGAAGGCAATAACAAAGATTAGAGCATAAATAAATAAAATAGAGACTAAAACGACAATGGAAAAGATCAGTGAAATAATGACTGGTTCTTTGAAAGGATGAACAAATTTAACACAGCTCTAGCTAGATTCACCAAGAAAAAAAGAAAGGACTCAAATAAATAAAAAATGAAAGTGGAGATATTATAATCGATACCACAGAAATACAAAGAATCATGTTGTCTACTATGAACAATTATATGCCAACACAATGGAAGCTTAGGAGACACAGATAAATTGCCAGAAGCATACAACCTACCAAGGCTGAATCATGAAGAAAGAGAAAATCTGGACAGACCAATTACTAGTAAGAAGATTAAATTCATAACCAAAAACCTCCTAACAAATAAAAAGTTCAAGACCAGACAGTGGATTCTACCAAACACTCAGAGAAGAATTATTACCACTCCTTCTCAAACTCTTCAGAAAGAGAAGAGAAGGGAACTCTTTCATACTCATTTTATGAGGCTAGCATGATCCTTATACCAAAATCAGACCATGGTGCCACAAGAAAAGAAAATTACAGGTCAATATCCCTTGGAACATAAGTGTGAAAGTCCTCAACAAAATATTAGCAAACTGAATTTGACAATCCATTAAAAGACCCATATACAAACATACTTTGGAGGTATATCAGGCTTGGTTCCAGACCACATCAATAAAACAAATAACCTGCCCTGGGTCGGGATCTAGGGAGGAGGAAATGACAACCCATTTCACTATTCTTACCTGGAGAGTTCCATGGACAGAGGAGCGAGATGGGCTATATAGTTCATGGGGTCAGGACATGGAGTCCTGAAAGAGATGGACATGACTGAACGACTGAGCACACACATGCACACTATATCATAATCTATTAAGTGTGCAATAGCATTATGTCTTAAAAAATAAATACTTTAATAAAAAAATACCATATTGCTAAAAAGTGCTAACCATCATATGATAGTGCAGGGTTATCACAAACTTTCAATTTGTAAAAATCTCAATGTCTGTGAAGCACAATAAAACAAAGTACAATTAAACAAGGTATGCCGGTACTGTAATCAAGTGGGATTTATTCTAGGGGTGCAACATCCACAAATCAGTCCATGTGATATGCTTCATTAATAAAATAAATGACAAAAATCATATGATCACCTCAACTGATATAGAAAAAGCATAATCAAATTCTGCTTCCATTTATGATAAAAAAAACTCTCAACAAGGTGCACATAGAAGAAACATACCTCAACATAATAAAGGCCAAATATGAAAAGCCCACAGCTAACATCATACTCAAGGTAAAAAGCTAAAAGTTTTTCTTCTAAGGTCAGGAACAAAACAAAGATGCCCACTCTAGCTACTATTATTTAACATAGTATTAGAAGTCCTAGCAAGAGCTCAAGAGTGGCATAATTTAAAATTATTGATTACAAAAAAAGAAAGAAAATGTAGTCCTTAAAAAGCATGGCTATATATTTAGATTTATGAGGGAATTAGAACTGTCTTATATAACAATATCTTCATAATAAGCCCTCAGAGTACAATCTTACAAACTTTCAGGGGACAAAGTGGTTTATTTCCATATTAAGATAAAAATGACTACAGGATTGGACATACTTTATAGAGAAGATTTGTTGAGAAAAAAGGCTACCGATGTTGAACATTTCTTGAGAGAGATTACATCAAGAAACAAGATAGAAGGAAAAATATGTTTTAAATTTTAAAAAGAGGGGGATGGGTTAACACAGTTCTTAATAGTGTTTGAGAAGTATTCCAAAGAGAAGTCTTCAAAAGAGTTCTATTTTTCCACAGCCTTTCATTATGAAATGGGAAATGTATTTCCACAGCACTCTACAGGGGTGCCCACTGCAGAGGTGAAATCTATGTATTTATACACTTTGAAATATCAAAGGTTTTTCAAAGCTCCTTGCGTGATATTTCCCTATTACTTGTGGTCACAGCAGCTATACGTTTCACAATATTTCTTTTTAAAGGAGAGTTTGCTTTATATTCTAGTTTGTACAATAACATTTGGATCAAAGTCAACTGCTAGGTATGGGAACTAAATGTGATTAATATTTCAGGTTATATTGAAATAACCTCTTTGCTGTTTTTTAGATATTGCATCTAAAAAAATCTTTTATGCACTGCAGCAATACTGATTTTTCTTTATTTTTATGTCTTAATTTTTCTCCCTTTTGGTCTGATACTGAAGCAATATTGTTAATTTTGGAAAAATTTCATATAGGGAGAAGCTGTCATAAAATAGTGAGAAGTGTCTTCAGCTCCAGGCTCCTCTGATGCCACCCCACCCCCATCCATTTTTTACCTTCTAGTCTTGCTTTGTAACTAGGGGCAGGGTTTAGGGGTGACAGTATTAATCGCTATGGGCTGCTCTTTCCCCAGTGTTTGCCCCAGCCGCTGCCTGAGTTCAGCCAAGGAGGGCACAGGTGGGAACAAAGTGAGCTTGGGGCATTTCTTCCCCCTCCCTCGATGTCACCTGGACACGACTGGCCCTTCCATTTGTGACTGCAGTGCCCGCCAGGGACCCCTCTCTTCCAGGCTCCAGCTCCCACCTGGCTCTGGTAATGCTGTTTCCAGCCCCTGCTTTTCCAGCCTAGGGTGGTGGTGATTCCCACTGTCCCTAGTCCTGGGTGCCTCAGTGCTCCCCACTGGTTCCCTTAGCGCTGCTTCACCTCTGTAAATAGCTCCTTTGTGAATTCTCTTCAGAATCCCTGTCCGGCATGTTTTCTGAATCCCTGGTGGATAGAGCTTCCATCTGTTATACTCTGTGCACGTGTGTGCTATGTGGTGAGAAGACACCTGCCCGGGAACTGGCTGATATGAGTTTTCGTCCCTCTTTGTTGTTGTTTAGTTGCTCAGTTCTGTCTGACTCTTTGTGACCCCACGGACTGTAGCCTGTCAGGCTCCTCTGTCCATGGGATTCTCCAGGCAAGATTTCTGGAGTGGGTTGCCATTTCCTTCTCCAGGGTATCTTACTGACTTAGGGATCAAACCTGCATCTCCTACATTGACAGGTGGATTCTTTACCACTGAGAAACCAGGGAAGCTGTCCCTCCTTAGCTAAGTTGATAATTTTGTGAACCAGGGCAAATGTAAAACAAACTCCAAGCTCCTTGACAGTAAGGACCACATTTATTTTGCTCACAACAGTATCCTTTGGGCTGGGTAGAAGGCCTGGAACATGGTAGATGTTCAGGAGATGAATGGACGGATGGATGAAGAAAAGAGTCCACTTACTATATTTGCATTTTATATCCTCACCTGGGAAATGAGAAGTTTGGAATCTTTAGGCCAGATGATTCCTTCCAGGATAATGGGACTGTAATTCTAAAGAACAAGCAGGATGAATCCTATTCGGGGACATGTGAACATATTGTCACAGAACTACACGCAGCTCAACCAGGGGAGGGAGCAGTGTTCAGGGCTTGTTAGAAACAGAGCCAGTGGCTTTGTTACCATGGCAACTACACTACTCAGGCTAATAAGGCATCCAAAGTGGGGTCAGCTATTGTCCATCAGAGTGTATGCAAAGAAACTGCATGACCACATTAGGAAACCAAGGGTTGCTGATCTACTACAGAGGTGCCTGAGGAAAGAGCCTTTTCCTTCCCAGGGAAGTTCTTCCTCTCTTTCCCTATCTTTCGGCATTATTTAGATACAAAATTGCTTTCACAAAAGCACGGAAGTTTAAGAATGGCAGAGTCAGAAAGAAGGAGGGAAGAAAGGAGAGAAAGAGGGAGGGAGGGAACCTAGAGCAGAGCTCGTCTTGAAAGTGACGGGCAGCCAGGTCCGCCAGCCTTCTTGCCTGCCTGTCCTCCCTTCTTCTCTCCAGCACACTATTATTAGTCATCCAGGCTTACACTGGGCACCAGGTTAGACAATGCAGAGACTGCTGACCACAGAGAGACTTGGTTCCTGCCCTCAGGCCACTCCTGTCGTGGGGGATACTTTCTTACTCTGCAGTTTAAGGTTCAGCTAAAGACCTACCTACATCTTGCAGTGGATGTTCATGCCTGGGAACCTTATCAAACATGATCAGTTCATAGACACATATCTCTGTATGTACACATATACAGAGCACCTCTCATCAACTAAATCACAACATTATTCAGAGCAGAAATTTTATCTGTATGACCCTTGGGGCTTAGCAAGATACTCTACGCAGAACAGGTATTTAATAAATGTTTATTGGTGATTATGATGACACTGATAAAATGTTAAGAATTTATAACAGCCTATGAATCCATTTTTCAATAGAAATTAATGTAAAAATATATATTTTTTCTGTTGTGAAAAGGTCACTAGAATTGGTTTTGTAGAAAGCTTTCACAGTAACAAAACAAGTACTATTTTTACCTCTATAAGAGACAGGATGACTCTAGAAGAATATAAGTAGATGCTTACTAAATACTCTCTAAAGATGATTGAGCAACTGTGCTCATATCCCCCGAATATTTTAAATGCTTCAGATAAAAGTCTTACATTAAAAACTCCAACGTAAGTGTCTTTAAGTCTATTTTAGTCAAAATAAAGAAAACATAGGTAAAACCTAACACTTCTTTATTTTAAAATCTAGACATTTGCTTATAAGAAAGAAAAAACAGTTGGTCTAGGGACAGGACAGTTTCAATTATTCTAGAGCTCCACCTAGTGAAAAATATCTATTTTATGAATATTATTTTTGAAAAATTCAGGGCCATGGAAATGGAAATAAAAATGCTTTTTTGCTTTATTTATGCATGTTCATTGAAGGAGATGGTGAACTTTCTTATGACACTACTCAGGAAAAAACAAGCTCACTCAGTTGGAAACGAATTATTATTCAACAATCCCTATATTATAACATTTTGCTCTCCCGAAAGAAACAGATTTGCTGCATGTAATTGTCACTGTAACTAAAAGACAGTGTTCTGATTCCAAAAATCAAAGTGCTGGGCTTAATGATCATTGATGGTAGGCCCTCCCTTCAGAAATGTTCCAAAGAATTCCACGCAGTCGTGAATTACAGAACACTTACCTGCAGAACCGCTTCCCTTTCTTCATCAGATAGCCTTTTCATAGCTGCTTTCCTGAGGTTTTCCTGGATATAGTTATCGTATTCTTCTTGGGCTTTCTTCACTTCCTCATTTCGCTTACATATATATTCAGGTGTGACACCGTAATCCTTATAAAGATTTTTCAGAAATTAAAAAAAAAAAAACACCCTGAAAGTTATCTTGTATATGTGTACATACCAAGCAACAATTAGGAGCAAAAGAAATGTTACAGACTTAAAGCCTTTGCTCAAAACACTACAAATTGACAAGTCAGTGATTTTTTTTTCCTATTGGGAAATAGCAGCTTTTATCTTGAGCTCTCTTTTGCATAATTTTGTTTTTTTAAAAAAAGAAGTTAAATGCTTCTAATGCATTGTAAAAACTGACTCTTGAAACTACTAGGCACATCTGCTTTAAGAAAAAAAAAAATGACTTGGGCCCCTAAGGTTGTTTTTTGAAATACAACATACAATTTTAGGCTCCTGGGCTGCTTATAAGGACTGACAGTGAAGCAATCAGCTGTGATTCTTTCAAGTTAGTGAATGTGTAGATACCACTGTGCAGAGACACAGAACTACTCCCTGTTCATTCTCCAAAAAACTATTTGAGGATGTACTTTGTGGTACCTACACTAGTGAATAAGAAAGACAGTTTCTGTCCTCACAGAATGTGTTTTCTATGGGGAGAAAAGCTCATCAAAAAGAGATTATAAAATAATATTTGTAAATATAGTAAGAAGAAAGAGAGTCATGAGAGCTAATTGAGATAAAATGTCAGGGAAGATCTCTCTGAGGAAGCAGCTGTTGAGAGATATGAGTCATTGAAACTATGCACAAATATCCTGGTTCTTCTCCTTGGAAGCAATACTTTCCTGCTCCCCTTTTAAGTAAGATGTAGCCATGTGACCTGCATTACCCCATGGGAGTGCAAGTAACTTCTGTCCTTTTTGAATCTTATGAACTAATGGATGGCTTGCCATGTTCTTTTTCTCTCTGGTATGCTTTGGGTTGCTGGGTCCTGGAATGAGGACTGCAAGTAGAGGTCCCAGCAACCCTCAAAGGACATGCAGCACAAGGAAGTACTAAAACTTAGTTACTTTTAGTTACATAAATTTGGGGGTTATTTGTTAGCCACAGCATAACACAACCTAATCCTGACTGAACAAGGGATAGAAACCTTAGCTATTAATATAAATGTGCTCTGGAAAGTTGCAAAGCACTATACAGATAAACTCTAATTGCTCAGTATACTGAGCATTTAGTTATTAGTACTCTGGGTAAATTAGTTCAATGGTAACCAGTTCAGTCCACTTCAGAAAACCCTGAGAGCAGCACCTCTTTTCAGCTCAGTACAATCAGTGAGGTTCATAATGATGATTCTGTGTCATCACAAGAGATTATATTTGGCATATTCTGTTTAAGAAAAAGAACTACCTCACAGATGAGGAAAAGCTGCAGTGATCTGAAATATTCATTCTCATGTGCTGAATCATTGAGAGCTAATGCATACTATTAATATTAATAATTGCATGTATTATAATATCCACTCATCATTGAAGTTTTACTAGGTGCCAGGTATTGTGTCAAGTGCTTAATGTATTTTATATCATTTAATCCTCACAATGCTGTGATAAATCTAATAACCTGTTAAAAAGATTATGGAGTTAAATAAGTGGCAGAGTTAGAATTTGAAATGCTGTCTTACTATTATCGCTGTATAACTCAGGCCAACATCCATGCTTCACTGTGCTAACAAATTACCCTCATGGCACAAATGGGCACACAATACTTTACTTGGAACTAAAACATGAGGTTTGCTCATTTTTAAAAAATGGCATCGCCCTAAAATGGACCTGCTGTCTCACTTAATAATAGATTTTAAAACTTAACTCTGATAAGTGGAAAGTAAGTTGAGTTAGTCCTTCCTGAGCTCTGACTGCTTAGCCACCAAGAGTATTACTAGGAGCAGAGAATCTGCATTGCTTGGTAGACAAGCTCAGGTAGACTAACCTAAAATTTTTCTGTCTCTGTGATGCAGACTCAATTTCTTGTTCAAGGCAGAAAATGTATCAAAGTGGGCGGCTGATGCAAAATGTAGCCATGAGGAGCGGGGCACAGGGTGGCGGTTTGCAGCATGATTGTCAAAGGAAAAGGGGTGTTTTGTGTGTGTGTGTGAGATGGTGGAGAAATGATGGGTTGGAAATGGTTTTAAAAAGCCAGGAGAATGAAACTTCTGCTTTTCCACACCCTATGGGACAGGAAGTCTGAGCAGCCTCCAGGGGCCATAGAAGGAGGAAGTATCAGAGAGAAGCTTGAAATCTTCATTGTCATGTGTTGCCAACTCCTAGACTCCGATTGAGGTGTCTTAGCCAACTGAGCATCAGGGGTTTCTCAGGGACTAAGTAGTTTTTCTCTAACAATGGCCTTGAGGCTCCTGTTTTGATTGTGAACAGGCATTGGATTCATCATGGTGGATCACTGGATGACCTCAATGCAAGCCCCTCAACCCTTACTATTACAATTTCCTTTTTCCTGTCCTTCTTCCTTTCCTTTCTTTTTTGCCACAAGTTATTATTAAGCATAGGCTTCCCCGGTGGTTCAGAAGTAAAGAATCTGCCTACAAGGCTGGAGCCACAGGAATGTGGATTCAATCCATGGCTTGGGAAGATCCCCTGAAGGAGGGCATGGCAACCCACTCCAGTGTTCTTGCCTGGAGAATCCCATGGACAGAGGAGGCTGGTGGGTTATCGTCCACAAGGTCACAAAGAGTCGGACACCACTGAAGTGACTGAGCGAGCACACGTTATATTATGTACTGGAGAAAGAAATGGCAACCCACTCCAGTATTCTTCCCTGCCGAATCCCATGGACCAAGGAGTCTGGCAGGCTATAGTCCATGGAGTCACAAAGGCTCAGACACGACTGAGTGACTGAGCATGTTCATTATTATGCATTACTATTCTTTAGAATTTTGTACTCATACTATGTGTGTTTCCAGCATTTTTGTGTTTCATAAACATGCAAAGTAAAATAGGTTTCATGTAAGGTACTTTTCATAAGCTTTTTAAACTTTAAACTTCTACATTTAAAGAGCTAAACCCATGCTTCTATAATTTCAGCAATGAAATCATATGCTTATCTGATAAGCACCTTTTCAGATAGAAATGAAGGTCCTGAAAAGACTAGATTATTGTTCAGTACTTTCAAGGTCTGTTTTACTCCAAACCAAACACAAGTGAATATATTCAAACTGAAATAGTACTGTGAATTATTTATACTACACTGATAGGATGGACAGTTCTAAAGTTGTTTTCCTCTTCATTTCTCTCATTCTGTTATGAAGATAATGTAAAGTGGAAGAAAGTGAAAGTGAAAGCCACTCAGTTGTGTCTGACTCTGACTCTTCTCAGGCAAGAATACTGGAGTGAGTTGCCATGCTCTCCTCCAGGGGATCTTCCTAACCCAGGGATCGAATCCAGGTCTCCCGCATTGTAGGCAGATTCTTTTTTTTTTTTTGTAGGCAGATTCTCTACCAGCTGAGCCACCAGAGAAGCCCAAGATAATGTAAACTAATAACTAAACCCTAGAATCTTCTGAAAGGTTATTCCTTCCAGATTTACAATAATGACTGTGCTTCTAGCGACAATTCCACCTCAACAAAAATGAGTATCTTTAGAGAATGCGTGTTATAATTCTTAAATATATTAATAATTGAAATTAAGGAAAACAACTACAGTTTTCCTTTACTAAACTACATGTCGTTGTTCATTCCAAATTGTCTGTACTTTCACCACACTAGATTTGGACGAAACACAGACTTCAGGGGAATGAGAACTGACAATCTAGATAATTTGTTCAGTGAGAGCACTGTTTTTTTTTTTTTATTGAAGTAAAGGCGATTTACAATAGTATATCAGTTTTAGGTGTACAACATAGTGGTTCAAAATTTTTATAGATTATAGATTATACACACCATTTAAAGCTGTTTAAAAATGTTGGCTATATTTCCCTTGTAGCTTACTTGTTTAATATATCCTAGTAGCTTATTTATTTTATCCATACTAATTTGAACCTCTTAATCCCCTCTACTTTTCCACTCCCCACTGGTAGCCATTAGTTTGTCAGAAAGCACCATTAGTAATAATAGAATCTTTATGAATAATTTGAATATCAGGTCTTTTTAAAAATTGCAGTACTCAATTATATAACACTTTATTATTTAAAAAATTTCCCCATTCTGGTTTTAGCACTGAAAGCCCTGCATGCTGGGGAAACCTTTAGTCCCAGGCAATTGGACAGCTGGTCATCCTATGAAAGATCTTCTCTTTTGGAAGCTAAGACTATAGCAGTCTTAGGAAAGCTAAACTATAGCAGTAATAGGAAAAAAAGGAGAAATTACTGAACCATAACTTTGAAGAGGTTTTTAATGTGAAGAAGCATTATCACTTGAAGTACTGCTAACACTTTAAATTATAGGCAGCACTATGTGAAATACTGAGTCTGGGTCTCTGTAGACAAAGTCAGTAAAGTATATACATGAAATTGCCATCCTAACTGATAGGGACAAATGACAAGTAAAGATATAAACAAATGATAATTATCTTATAAATAACCAAGTTTAGTGAGTTTGTTTGTTGTTTTTCATGCACATTAGCTGTCGGCTTGCTAAAAACTAACTATTAAGAGCTAACTAGCTAGTGATAGGTCAATCTATGCCAAATCTTCACCTTGAATTTTAGAAAAAATTCCATTTTCTTCCTCTATTATTTTTATAATTTTTTATTAGAAGGTAATTGCTTTGTAATCCTGTGCTGATAGCAACAATACTACTTAATTTTAAAACAAATTTTTACTGGAGTATAGTTGCTTTGCAACATTGTGTTAGTTTCTGCCGGACAGCAAAGTGAATCAGCTATATGTTTACATACATCCCCTCTTTGGGGGATTTCCTTCCCATTAGGTCACCATAGAGCATCAAGTCAAGTTCTCTGTGCTATACAGTAGGTTCTCATTAGCTACCTATTTTACACATATCAGATGTTATTAATATATCATAAGGCTACCTTTTTATTGATGTACTTCGGAACCAGCCCTGAAGTTTCAAGGTCATGCTTGTCTCCAGTTCTTTTGTCAACATAAATTGGTTTAGGCTTTTTAGCCACTCCCATAATGACATCAGCTGCATTTGTATTTATAAAATTTTTTTCACTCTGTATTCCCATGACTGGATGCTCAGTCCTCAATGGCACAGGTGGCTTTCTGCGCTCATTCCATTCAAACTTTTTTTCTGTTAAACATAACATTTCCACTGTTAATGTTAAACCATAAACATGTCTACTCAATATTATTTATAACATCCAGATGTTTTGCCATTAGTATATTAGAGTTGTATTAAAAATATATTCAAATATTTAAGGTAAAAATCAGTAATAATAAATGCAAAAAATTAAATGTGAAATAATCAATATGTTGAAGAACAATATAAAAATCTAAGGGAAGAAAATAAACTCCCTAAATCATATGTGAGCTAATACATTTTTACTAGCTATTATAAAAATATTTTCTTATAAAGATTTCAACAACAAATATTCAGTTTGCCCATTGGAAAAAAGTTCAAAGAAACATTAAAACGTTTTTCTGAGTACTTTCAATATTATGAATAATTGTTTTCAGAGGAAAGTTACTATAAAATCACCAAGTAAAGAAATCAAACTTGAGGTATTGAAAGTCCAAGAATCAGTGAAATTTTTTGCAGATTATCATTATAATGTTTATCATTGATTATTATTACAAGGCATAAAAATCATTTAATAGCTGTGCATCCAACATGCAGCTTAAGAAATAAAGATTACCAATGCTGTTGAGGTTTCCTATTCACTCCTCACTGATTACATCTCACCTCCTTAAATAACTACTATTCAGAGTTTACCTTATTTCTCTATTCCACATTCTCTTAATTAGCAGCAGATGAAAATGGCTGTTTCTACACAGTCTCTTTGACTTGACCATTCTGACTCACCTGTTCCGATACAGCCACATAGAAATGGTTTGTCAAAAAGCTAAAATGTAAAATAACTACATTTTATTTCCCAGAACCAAAGGCAACAACTATCTTGACAAAACCTTACTCAAATCTTAACCCCACACACATTTACTACTTTGTCTTTATTCATTTCTGTAGTTTGAACTTTTAAATCATTTTATATAACTTCTATTATCAGAAAAAAACCAATATTTAATTATTGAAGGTCTATGAAATGGATTGATCTCTTGTTATGGGCTGAATTGTGTTCTGACCCACATATTCATATATTGAAGCCCTAAACCCCAGAACCTCAGAATGGTACTGTAGTTGGACATAGTTTTAAACAGGGACTTAAGTTAAAATGAAGTCATTACAGTGAGCCCTAATCCAATACGAATGATCTCCTTATAAAAGGAGGAAATTTGGACACAAACACAAAAGGAAGACCATGTGAAGACACAGGGAGAAGACAGCTATCTATAAGCCAAGAAGAGAGGTCTCAGAAGAAATGAACCCTGGAAATATCTTGATGGTGTTTTTGTTTGTTTTTGACTGCACCTTGAGGCATGTGGGATTTGTTTCTCTGACCAGGGATTGAACCCATAACCCCTGCAATGGAATCACAGAGTCCTAACCATTGGACTCTCACATAATTCCAGGAAACACCCTGATCTGGGATGCTAGCTCTCAGAATTGTGACAAAATTAATTTCTATTGAAGCTACTCTATGGGGCTTTCCAGATGGCACTAGTGGTAAAGAATCCACCTGCTAATGCAGGAGACAGTAAGAGACACAGTTTCGATCTGGGTTGAGAAGATCCCCTGCAGAAGGAAATGGCAACCCACTCCAGTATTCTTGCCTGGAGAGTCCCATGCACAGAGGAGCCTAGCGGGCTACAATCCATAGGGTCTCAAAGAGTCAGACATGATTGAAGTGATTTAGCACGCACATACATGTTATGGCAGCAGCGCTAACAAACCAATATACCCCTGATAATTCTACACCCCCTGCAAACATTATAAAGGAAGTTTTCAATGTTCACTTTGTCATTAATTCATGCAATATGTTTTTGTTGAATACTTACTATGTTCCCAGGTAGTGCTCTAGGAACTGTGGGTACAGAAGTGAACAAAAGAGACAAAGTTCCCTTTCTTATGGAGTTTACATGATAGTGGGGATGAAAAAATGTAATATGTAGACTGTGATGTATATATTTGCTTAAACAATATGTAAAATTGTTTACTGTTCTTGACATACAAAAATAGTTATCTTCTTCCTATTTAACATACTACTGAGATGTTGTGAACATTGTCAGAAATTGAACTGTGGTGTTCTTACAAAGCCTGGAGCAGAGAATAAACCTGTTACAACCCAAATATTTCCCATCTACTAAACATACCCAAGTAAGGATGGTATAACCAGTTTGCCTAAAAAACCAGAGGCTTTAAAAAATTAATTTATTTGTTCTAATTTGAGGCTGATTACTTTACAACACTGTAGCAGTTTTTGCCATACATTGACATGAACCAGCCATGGGTGTACATGTGTTTCCCATCCTGAACCCCCCTCCCACCTCTCTCCCCATCTCATCCCTCAGGGTCATCCCAATTTCACCAGCCCTGAGCACCCTGTCTCATGCATCAAACCTGGACTGGCGATCTTTTTCACATATGATAATATACATGTTTCAATGCTATTCTCTCAAATCATCCCATCCTTGCTTTCTCCCACAGAGTCCAGAAGTCTGTTCTTTATATCTGTGTCTCTTTTGCTGTCTCACATATAGGGTCATTATTACCATCTTTCTAAATTCCATATATATGTGTTAATATACTGTATTGGTGTTTTTCTTTCTGACTTACTTCACTCTGTACAATAGGCTCCAGTTTCATCCACCTCATTAGAACTGATTCAAATGCATTCTTTTTAATAGCTGAGTAATATTCCCTTGTGTATATGTACCACAACTTCCTTATCCATTTGTCTGCCAATGGACATCTAGGTTGCTTCCATGTCCTGGCTATTGTAAACAGTGCTGTGATGAACATTGGGGTACACGTGTCTCTTTCAATTCAAAACCAGAGGCTTTTATATGTTCACATGAGAAATATTTAGAAGCCAAATTTAATTATGAGTTGAAAGTGCATGCAGATGACTTCCTTAACTATAGCTTTAGAAATGCATTTAAGAGGCAAAAGTGAATTCTCAGAAAATAAAGCAACAGTTTAGGAAGACTGATAACTCATTCCTCGTTGAGTAAGTAAATTATAAATCTTGCTTTGTGGTTGTGTGCTGGATAAAGCCTAAAGCCTACCCCCATCTTACTCTATGGTATATCTACCTAAGCATCATCTCATCTATCAACCCAAGAGTAGAGGATGGCAATGGGGCTGCTGCTTAGTTGCTCAGGCATGTCTGACTCTTTGCGGACAATGGGGGAAGGTTTGGAAAAAGGAGTGAGGATGTCTAGTCATAAATTATTCCCCCTGATACCCATATTCTCTATGACCACAATTGACTGCCAAATCTGAAAGCCAAATGATTTGGTGTCTTTCTAGGCTTCCCTGCTAGCTCAGCTGGTAAAGAATCCGCCTACAATGCAGGAGACCCCAGTTTGAATCCTGGGTCAGGAAGAGCTGCTGGAGAAGGGATAGGCTACCCACTCCAGTATTCTTGGGCTCCCCTGGTGGCTCAGCTGGTGAAGAATCTGCCTGTAGTGTGGGAGATTCAATCCCTGGGGTGGGAAGATCCCCTGGAGAAGGGAACGGCTACTCACTCCAGTATTCTGGCCTGGAGAATTCCAGGGACTGTATATATAGTCCATGGGGTGGCAGAGCCAGACACAACTGAGCGACTTTGACTTTCACTTTTCACATTAGGCTGTAACAAAATGGCAGTATCAACGGGGTCTCATAGTCATGCAGATGTTCCACTACTTGAATTCAGAGAAATGTTCATATATCTGGTAGGTATTTTTCAGTCTGTCTAGCAAGTTCCTGTGTTCAAAATGGCAGCATATTCACAGACTGGTAGCTGTTTGGCCTATGTTACCTTCAACTTTGTTTCACTGCATGGGCTTTTATTTTCTCTTATTTTGATGGACCTTTAAAGCTCTTGCAAAACCCCAAATTTTTTATTCTTAAGGCCAATGAATTTTTGTGTTTGTTTTACCTTATAATGTTTATAAGAGAGACAGACTTCATCTCTTTTTCCTTATTTGAAACTTAGGATTTACAGTTTGGTAGCTGTGCTATGTAACATGCTTAACTTTGGCGAGTATTCATAAGGACCCAAGTAATGTCACTGGTCCTAAGGCACTTAAGGAATTAAATTCTATTTTAAGATTTTCCAGTATTCTCAAGTGGTTGTGGGTTGCAAAATAACACTTGAGGAAAAGACAAGAGACTTTCAAAGAACTGAATTTAAACATTAATATTGTATTTTTACACTTGCTTCTTTCATCTTTCCTAATAATGCCCTCATCCTTTATCATGGCATATGGGTTATAAGAGGATTGTGAGACACAAAACATTACCATAGGGAGAAGGAGTTACACTTTTGTCAAAAGGTGATACCCTCATTGGGCTTGACATACTGTGTTAGTTCTTTGATCCAAGAAGACGGGAAGAGGCTAACTGTTTAAAAGACATTGCCCTTGAGTTTATTATCCAAAACGAGTAGGGAAGACATACTCAAGATGGGAAGAAGCTGTTTCGTGCATACTTGTCACAAATCCTTTTTCATCTATTCTCCACTTTTCTGATGGCCTTTCCCCCAATATCCATATTCTCTATGACCACAACTGACTACAACATTTGTGAGGCCCAGCACAAGATGAAAATGTGGGACTCCTTGATAAAAGGAATTTCAAGATAACAAAAGCAGACCATTAAACCAAGTGTGGGATCCTTTGCAGCACGGGGCCCAGTGTGGCTGCACAGGTAGCATGCCCAAGAAACTGATTCTCATTCATGAAGCCTCTTCCATTACATCCAATTCTTTCATTGTCCTAATGGTCTTTGAGATCTGAGAAATTTAAAGCCCATACTCAAAGCTAAACTGAGACTGGTCATTGCTTTGACAACTGATAGTAATGGTTGTATTTTCATTTCCTGGAGAAAAGACTAGATATGGTTTAGAGCCAAGCAATTTTGCCCATTTGGGGTTTAGAACTCTTATAATTGTTGCTTGTTATTGATGTTATATGGCTAGATCTGAAGATGGTGCTGGAGTTGGGGCTTTATCATATAGTCCAAGATGTAGTTCAAGATGCTTACACCTTCAAAAGGAAAGTCTTTGGGGGAGGAAATTTAGCATTCTCTACTCTCTTTTTCTACTACATAGTGGGGTTTTTGAGAATTTTTTAAAATACATTTTTTCATTGTAGTGGATTTGTATTCTGTAAGTAACAGGTGTACCATACACTGATTCAGAATTTTTAAAGGTTATACTCTATTTATAATTACTCTACCAGAAAATTACTAGAGCTAATCAACGAATACAGTAAAGTTGCAGGATATAAAATTAACACACAAAAATCTCTTGCATTCCTATACACTAACAATGAGAAAACAGAAAGAGAAATTAAGGAAATAATACCATTCACCATTGCAACAAAAAGAATAAAATACTTAGGAGTATATCTACCTAAAGAAACAAAAGACCTATACATAGAAAACTATAAAACACTGATGAAAGAAATCAAAGAAGACACAAACAGATGGAGAAATATACCGTGTTCATGGATTGGAAGAATCAATATTGTCAAAATGGCTATACTACCCAAAGCAATCTACAGATTCAATGCAATCCCTATCAAACTACCAACGGTATTTTTCACAGAACTAGAACGAATAATTTCACAATTTGTTTGGAAATACAAAAAACCTCGAATAGCCAAAGTAATCCTGAGAAAGAAGAATGGAACTGGAGGAATCAATCTGCCTGACTTCAGACTATACTACAAAGCCACAGTCATCAAGACAGTATGGTACTGGCACAAAGACAGAAATATAGATCAATGGAACAGAATAGAAAGCCCAGAGATAAATCCACGAACCTATGGTCACCTTATCTTTGACAAAGGAGGCAAGGATATACAATGGAAAAAAGACCACCTCTTTAACAAGTGGTGCTGGGAAAACTGGTCAACCACCTGTAAAAGAATGAAACTAGAACACTTTCTAACACCATACACAAAAATAAACTCAAGATGGATTAAAGATCTAAATGTAAGACCAGAAACTATAAAACTCCTAGAGGAGAACATAGGCAAAACACTCTCCGACATAAATCACAGCAGGATCCTCTATGACCCACATCCCAGAATTTTAGAAATAAAAGCAAAAATAAACAAATGGGACCTAATGAAACTTAAAAGCTTTTGCACAACAAAGGAAACTATAAGCAAGGTGAAAAGACTGCCCTCAGATTGGGAGAAAATAATAGCAAACGAAGCAACAGACAAAGGATTAATCTCAAAAATATATAAGCAACTCCTCCAGCTCAACTCCAGAAAAATAAATGACCCAATCAAAAAATGGGCCAAAGAACTAAACAGACATTTCTCCAAGGAAGACATACAGATGGCTAACAAACACATGAAAAGATGCTCAACATCACTCATTATCAGAGAAATGCAAATCAAAACCACAATGAGGTACCATTACACGCCAGTCAGGATGGCTGCTATCCAAAAGTCTACAAGCAATAAATGCTGGAGAGGGTGTGGAGAAAAGGGAACCCTCTTACACTGTTGGTGGGAATGCAAATTAGTACAGCCACTATGGAAAACAGTGTGGAGATTTCTTAAAAAGCTGGAAATAGAACTGCCATATGACCCAGCAATCCCACTTCTGGGCATACACACCGAGGAAACCAGATCTGAAAGAGACACGTGCACCCCAATGTTCATCGCAGCACTGTTTATAATAGCCAGGACATGGAAGCAACCTAGATGCCCATCAGCAGACGAATGGATGAGGAAGCTGTGGTACATATACACCATGGAATATTACTCAGCCATTAAAAAGAATTCATTTGAATCAGTTCTAATGAGATGGATGAAACTGGAGCCCATTATACAGAGCGAAGTAAGCCAGAAAGATAAAGACCATTACAGTATACTAACACATATATATGGAATTTAGAAAGATGGTAACGATAACCCTATATGCAAAACAGAAAAAGAGACTCCGATGTATAGAACAGACTTGTGGACTCTGGGAGAAGGCGAGGGTGGGATGTTTCAAGAGAACAGCATCGAAACATGTATATTATCTAGGGTGAAACAGATCACCAGCCCAGGTTGGGTGCATGAGACAAGTGCTTGGGCCTGGTGCACTGGGAAGACCCAGAGGGATCGGGTGGAGAGGGAGGTGGGAGGGGGGACCGGGATGGGGAATACATGTAAATCCATGGCTAATTCATTTCAATGTATGACAAAAACCACTGCAATGATGTAAAGTAATTAGCCTCCAACTTAAAAATAAATGAAAAAAATAAAAATAAAAAAAATAAAAAATAAAAAATAAAATTTGACTATATCACCTGTTATACAATATATCCTTGTATCTTATTTTATACACAATAATTTGAGCCTCTTCATCCCCTGCTTTATTGCCTCTCTTTTTCCCTCTCCCCACTGGTAACCACTAGTTTACTCTGTGTGTGCTTCTTTTCTGTTATATTTACCAGTTTGTTTTATCTTTTACATTCCATATATAAGTGATATAAAAAAGTTTACATCTTTGTATGACTTATTTCCCTTAGTATAATACCCTCCAAGTCCATCCATGTTGCTGCAAATGGCAATAGTTCATTCTTTTTTATGGTTGAGTGGTATTCCATTGTATACATATAACCAAAACTTCTTTATCCATTAATCTGCTGATGGGCACTTAGGTTGCTTCCATGTTTTAGCAATTATAAATAATGCTGCTAGGAATACTATGGTGGGTGTACTATATTCCTGATTTCTGCTTTCTCCTAGCCTCTAAAATTCTGTTTAATATGAGCTAAAGTTGTTATTGAACATTTAATATTCACAGACAAAATAATTTTAGTTAAATTACCCGTAAACACTTAAAATTAAAAAGTGATAAAACCTACTGGGTGGTAGAATTTTTTCCTTTGAATGTTTCTTCAGGAAATCCTTTGGAGAAGGTACTTCAAGTTTTGCTGGTCCCATAGTTTTCATTGCAGTTTTAAATTTTTGCATGTCATCTTTTACAGTTGCTTTAAAAATCGATACATACCTAAAATTTTAAAAAAGGCTGTAGCATTTATCTTTAATAAGAATCATACAAAGTTTTTAAAAGGATATACATTTCTAATTTACATATATCTATATTCTATAATATATATCTATATTCACTTGGAGATAGTCATTAAACATAATTATCTGAGCCCTGTCCATCAGGCTTAGGCAAACTAGATTAAAGTTTTACTCTAATAAAACAGTGCCAGGATAAAGATGATCATAGTATTTACTTACTACTCTTTGACCATCTGTAGCATTTATAATGATGTAACCTCTCCCATATCTGATATTGGCAGTCTGTCTGTCTGTCTCTCTCTCTCCTTTGTTCTTTTTCTTTTGCTTATAAGTCTTCTCTAATGTTCACATTTGCCATTTCAATGATTTCTGCACTGATCATTATTATATCTTATTATTTGGAATTTTTCTTCTTTTTAAGTTTCTTAAGGCGCAATTTTAGCTATTTGACTTTAAATATTTATACTTATACCTGCTTCCTGAGAAATCTGTATGCAGGTCAAGAAGCAACAGTTAGAACTGGACATGGAACAACAGACTGGTTCCAAATTGGGAAAAAGAGTATGTCAAGGTTGCTTATTGTCACCCTGGTTATTTAACTCATATGCAGGGTGCATCATGCACAATGCTGGGCTGGATGAAACACAAGCCACAATCAAGATTGCCAGGAGAAATATCAATAACCTCAGATATGCAGATGATGCCACCCTTACAGCAGAAAGCAAAGAAGAACTAAAGAGCCTCTTGATGAAAGTGAAAGAGGAGAGTAAAAAAGCTGGCTTAAAACTCAACATTCAAAAAATAATGACATCTAGTCCCATCACTTCATGGCTAGCAGATGGGGAAACAATGGGAACAGTGAGAGACTTTATTTTTTTGGGCTCCAAAATCACTGCAGATGGAGACTGCAGCCATGAAATTAAAAGACGCTTGCTCCTTAGAAGAAAAGCTATGACCAACCTAGACAGCATATTAGAAAGGAATGCATTTGAGTCAGTTCTAATGAGGTGAATGAACCTAGAGCTATTACACAAAGTGAAGTACGTCAGAAAGAGAAAGATAAATTTCGTACTCTAATACATATATACGGAATCCAGAAAAATGGTACTGAAGAATTTATTTACAGGGCAGCAATGGAGAAACAGACATAGAAAATAGACTTATGGACATGGGGAGACAGGAGGAGAGGGTGAGATGTATGGAAAGTGTAACATGGAAAGTTACATTACCATATGTAAAATAGCTAGCCAATGGGAATTTGCTGTATGGCTCAGGAAATTCAAACAGGGTCTCTGTTATCAATCTAGAGGGTTGGGATGGGAGGGAGATGGGAGGGAGGTTCAAAAGAGAGGGGATATATGTATACGTATGGCTGATTCATGTTGAAGTTAGACAGAAAATAAGAAAATTCTGTAAAACAATTATACTTCAATTAAAAAATTCAATAAATTAAAAAAAAAAGCAGAGACATTATTTCACCGACAAAGGTCTATCTATTCAAAGCTATGGTTTTTCCAGTAGTCATGTATGGATGTTGAGAGTTGGACTATAAAGAAAGTTGGGTGCCAAAGAATTGATGCTTTTGAACTGTGGTGTTCGAGAAGACTTTTGAGAGTCCCTTGGACTGCATGGAGATCCAATCAGTCCATCCTAAAGGAAATCAGTCCTGAATATTCATTGGAAGCACTGATGCTGAAGCTCCAATACTTTGGTCACCTGATGCTGACTCATTGGAAAATACTCTAATGCTGCGAAAGATTGAAGGTGGGAAGAGAAGGGGATGACAGAAGATGAGATGGTTGGATGGCATCACTGACTCGATGGACATGAGTTTGAGCAAGCTCTGGGAGTTGGTGATGGACAGGGAAGCCTGGTGTGCTGGAGTCCGTGAGGTTGCAAAGAGTTGGACACAACTGAGTGACTGAACTGACTTATCTGATAAAAGCCAAAAATTTCCCCTGGGCATTGCTTCATAGCTGCATAGCACAAATTTTGATATGATATGCTTCCGTTTTCATTCAGCTCAAAAACCTTTTAAATCCCCTTCTGATGTCGTCTTCATTTTAGAAGTTTGTTTACATGTGCTATGCTTGATCTCCAAATATTTGGGGATTTTCCTGATAGCACTCTGATTTCTAATTAATTTCTATTATGGTTAAAAAAATATAATTTGTAAAATTTCAATCTTTAAAGTTTCCTGACACTTGTTTTATGGCACAAAGCATAGTTTATCTTGGTAAATGTTCTATATACATTGGAAAAAGGAATTTACACTGCTGCTGTTGGCTGGAGTGTTCCATAACTGACAGGACAAACTGGTTGGATACTATTTTCAAGGGTTCTAATAATCATTGAAAGAGAGATGTTGAAATCTCTGATTACAATTGTGGACTTATTTCTTCTTTTAGTTCTGTCAGCTTTTGCTTCATGCATTTTGAAGCTCCATAAGTAGGTGCACAGCCTTTAGAATTATCATACCTTCTTGGAAAACTGATCACTTCATTATTGTAAAGTACTCTTTATCCCTCTTAAGATTCTATAGTCTAAAATCTACTGTTTGATATTAATATAACCAATCCAGTATTCCTTTAATTTATAATAATACAGTATTTGTCTATTCTTTGACTTTTTTCTTGTGTCTTTATTTTTAAGGGGGTTTTCTTGTGGAGAACATAGAATTTTTATCCTTTCTAACAGTTTGATTTATTTTGTTTGGACTATTGACATTTAATGTGGTTTAAAAAATGTGTTAGTATTTAAAATTTCCATCTTGCTATTGTTTTCTACATACCCCATTGCTGGTTCTTTCTTATTTTGTGCTGTCTTATCTTTTGTTTTTATTTTGTAGAAGTTCTAAGGTTTACAATATATATGTTTACCTCATTACAGTCTACCTTCAAGTATTATTATACTACAAGTATTATTATACTACAGGATATAAGAACCTCACAAAAGCATACTTGCATCTACCCCTCCCCCATCTCAATCCTAGGTTCTATGAGTGTTATAAACCTGTAACTCCTTGTGGTTATTTTCCCCTTAAAAAGCTAAGTATATTGTAAAGAAATTTAAAAAGAAAAAAAACTAACATTTACCCATCTGTGTGCATGTGTGTATGCTCAGTTGTGTCCAACTCTCTGTGACCCAATGGGCTGTAGCCCACCAGGCTCCTCTGTCCATGGGATTCTCCAAGCAAGAATACTGGAGTGGGTTGCCATTTCCTCCTTCAGAGGATTTTCCTGACCCAGGGATCAAACTCTTGTCTCCTGCGACAGGAGGATTCTTTTACCATCGAGCCACCTGGGAAGCCATATTTACCATTTTATATAATATAACTTTCTTGTGCATTATGGACTTTTAAAACTTCTGGCTTCTTGTATTTTCTGATGAATGTTTTGCTGACCTTCCTTCTTCCTCTGTATGCAATGTTTCTTTTTTCCTTGGCTGTTTTTAGTATTTTTCTCTTTATTACCGGTTTTAGGAAATTTTACGTTAATTGCCCTTGGAATGGTTTCCCTCTTCTCTTATTACTCCTCCTCCTTTTCCTTCTTGGGGTTCATAATGATTCTTTGATTTGTGAATTTAAATATCTCATTAATTTTATAAAAATTTTGACCACTATTCAAATATTTCTTCTATATCAGTCTACTCTCCTTCTGGGATCCTAATTACACTTGTGTTAGGTTGCTTGATGTGGTCAACAACTCACTGATTCTGTTTTCCTTTTCAGTTTTTTTCTCTCTCATTTTCATTTTGTATTGTTTTATTAGTATGTCTTCAAATCCAAAAATATTTTTTCTTCAGTGTCTTAGCTATTATCCCCATTCAGTATACTATTTTCATTTAGACATAGTATTATTTATGTATTCAACGTAGATTTTTTTTTATCCTTCTATGTCTTGCTCATGTTTTTGTCTGCATTTGGAACACATGAAAATATTTTAATTAGTGGTTTTAATGTTCTTGTCTACTAATTCTCTCACTGATATCGTTTCTTTGTCTGTTTGTATTGACTGATTTTTCTCTTGGTTATATACATTATATTTCTGGGACTAGAAGCTTTTAGTCCAGTTCTAAGTTGGTCTTATTTCTGAGCACACCACTCAATCCCCTGTATCTTACGAGATTCACTCTGGTTGGTGGGAACATAAACTTTATCTGGCTCTGCTGTTTTCTGTTGGTTATTTCTCTGGCCTTGGTAGTTTCATCATACATGTGGACTGTCAACTAAAGACTTCAGGGAAATCCTCCTGTATACTTCCATAATTTTCTATCTATGCAGTTCTCTCCTCTATAGTACTCTGTGCTATGAATGGTACATGGCTTGCTTCCCTGGTGGTTCAGGTTAAAGCGTCTGCCTGCAATGCGGGAGACCTGGGTTCGATCCTTGGGTCGGGAAGATCCCCTGGAGAAGGAAATGGCAACCCACTCCAGTATTCTTGCCTGGAGAATCCCATGGATGGGGGAGCCTGGTGGGCTACAGTCCACGGGGTGGCAGAGAGTCGGACACGACTGAGTGACTTCACTTCACACACTGACCTCCTCAAATTCTGAATCCTGTCACTTTAACTCAGTGAAACTGCTGGATTTTGTTTTAATTTCTCTTTCCTGAACTTTTGTCTGGAGATTTTCTTCAGGAAGAATATTGGGACAACTGTAGGCCTTGTTTCCCTTCGCTTAGGGATGACCGTTCTGTGCTGCCTATTGTTCCGTGTCTAAAAAACCATTGTTTTACATATATTTTCCTGGTGTTTTAGTTGCTTAAGGTGAGAGGGTAAATTCCATTCTTGACTGGAAGCAGAAATTCAGCTATATCACTTTCAGTAACTTGTATTCTCATCTTACTATGTAGATAAGTTTGTGTGGAGAAACATTAAATTTTTTCTTGCTTTTAGAAGACTTTCCTCAATCTTGAACTCAATGGCTAGGAATTAATTACAGTCCAAAATGAATGAGCACATTAGATACCTTCAAGAAATAATGTTCAATCCAAATCTGTGTCTTCAAATTCCCATGGAAACTGTAATTAGCATATATGATTTCTTGACTAATAACCTTCTCTGAGCTAAAAAGGAGTGTGTATACTCACCTTTTTAAAAATTGCATCTTGTGATTAATTACACTATTTTGTGTGTGAACCAAAAGCTTACCATGTCATAGAAAACAAGATATTTTATTCTATATGAATAATTTTATTTTTCAAAATTACAAATTTTTTAAATGATGAAACTAATAGTGTATGTCAATTATATCTCAATAACATAAGAAAAAAGATCTATTAATAGGTTCCCTTAATCTCAATTTTCCAAAAAAAATTTTGTATCTCTATGTATGAATTGTAACTTGATTTTAACTTGATAATGTGGTATCTTTTCATAATTAATATATGTAAAGCTTACACTTTTTTTTAAATGAAAGGCTTTTTCAATGCTATGATGTTTTACAATTTTCAAATCATGTGAGTTTCACCCACATTTCATATAATTCCATAACAACCCTTTTGCCCCACCCTTGTATTCCCCTTCTCCTTCCCCTCCCCCGCACCGGTAACCGCTAGTTTGTTCTTTTTATCTGTGAATCTGCTTCTTTTTTGTTTTATTCACTAGTTTGTTGTATTTTTTAGGCTCTACATTTAAGTGACATCACAGTATTTGTCTTTCTCTGACTTATTACACTAAGAATAATGCTCTCCAAATCCATACATGTTGCTGCAAATGGGAGAACTCCATGTTTTTTATAATTGAGTAGCAATCCATTGCATGTATATGTGTGTATATACATATACACACACCACATCTTCTTTATCCATTCAGCTATTGATGAACACTGAACTTGCTTCCACTACACTTTCAATAGTTGCATTTTACTCCTTTTTCTAGATGGTGTGGTTTTATTGTAAAGATCTAGGGGTGACTTAAGACAACTGGCCCTACTTTTTAGTTTTTATTAGATGTGGGCTATAGATTTTTCTAAAACTAAAGTTGTCATATTCAATAAACATACCATACTTATATTTTCTTGCCAACAGTCATGATATATTAAGTCATACTGAGTCTTTAGATAAACATTTCCATGGCAATTTATTTGAAAGTGACCAAAAGTTGGTACAATCTGATGATGTTTCGTTGAGTTGTTTTTTTTTAATCCTACTCGACTAGATGAACGTCTGGTTAACTATTGCTATATGCCTGTTTTACAATTTCAGGCCAAAAATAATAATAATAAAATTTCAGGCCAATATTATTATAGCATTTCATAATCATGTAAACTACAGACTGCTCAGAGCTCACAGTTCAACTGGAAGAGGGTGTCCTTCATCACACTTTGATTTCACATATCCATTTTCTAAATTCTCATTTAGCATCTGCATCTCTCATTAGGGTTTTCAATGATGTATGGTTTTATTGTTAACCAACACTTTCATGTTTATCTTTCAGTTCCCCAAGGAGACTGTAATCTCTGAGGTATGGGAGATCAGGTACCATCAATTGTGGTTTCCCCAAGGAATCTGCCTCTTTGTGAAAGCTGAACAATCATCTTCAAGACTTGCAAAGAGCTGCAGTGAACTTTCTTGAAACTGGGTATATAACTCAGTGATGCAAAGACTCATAGCTTAATATATTTCTTTCTTAGCAAGAATTCTTACTACTAATAAGTGGACTGGGTAAGGGCAATTGTGTTACTGTGAGGGCAATTTGTGTTACAGTGGAGAGAAAGAATTGGTTAAGTGTTTTATTATGCTCCGTGTTTTTTTTTTTTTAATAAATTAAGTGTCTTTCAAGCTTGACATCTTGTCAAATTAAAAATTCCTCTTGGTTGTTGCTGGCAGTGTAGGTTGACTTTACCCTAACACAAAGAGTTCTTTGGCATCACATCTGGATGCCTTCTATTCTTTTCACCATAAGGCAGTTTTTCCTACTTATTTCTTCAGAGTAAACCAAGGAATTTGAGCTGTCACTGCAACATTACCCAATGGTGATATTATACATTTGCCAACTAAATAAAGATTTTTCCTATAAAATTTCTTGAAAAAGCCACCTAGACACAGTAAACCTTTTTAAATTTACCAATAAACAAAATACCTATTTAATAAACTATCTTGAATTCAAATTCAGGATTCTATGAAAAATATAATCTGCCAGTGGGTTACAGAAGAGGAGCTTTTATCTTGTACAATATACAGGAATTTTCTACCAAAACTCCATTCAGCAATAGTTAATTTGAACACTTCTCATCAACTCTGAAACTGTACCAAATCTTACTTTGAATTCCTATTTCCAATCTCTACTAGATTTTGAGAAGCTAATGGAAAACAAAATAGGTATTGGTCTGGTTAAAAAAAGATACTCCAGCTTAAAAATGGAAGGATCTGTCCAGATCTGTCCACTTGTTGAAGATGTTAGGCACTCCAAGTAATTATTAAAAAAGATAATTGACAATTAGATCCAAAAGACTTAAAGATTATCCATTCATGTAATTTGTTTTACAGATCAGAAAACAAATTTTAATAATGTATTAGAGATCACAAAACCAATCAGTTGCAGAGCCTAATTTTTTGTTTTTAGCTCAGTGCTCTTTTAATGTAGTTTTGACTTGGAACAAGAAAAAGGAGAAAGGTAAAAAGCTGCAAAATCCTAGGAGGAAAGAGATTTTCCCTGTTCTTTACCTTCTTTTGTCCCTAGAGATTTAAGTAAGTGCTAAGTCCCAGGTGAGTAACTGAGACCTTTACTGTGTGAGACCTTTTTGAAAATTTGGGGAACTAAAGGGGTTCTAACACCTATATAAAAATCTTAACTCTATCACATATTTTTGGGTCTCTGTCAATCCATTCTTCTATCAACTATTAGATCAAAAAAAGACCTTAGGCACTATCTTGTGCATTTGCTTCATCAAAAAAAAAAAAAAAAAAAAAGAGAGAGAGAGGCTCAGAAACAAATAGAAATTGATATTTGACAATACTCTTGGGAAAAAACTGGTATTATCTTTCTTTAGAGAAAGCAGTGTAGTCAGAAAGGAAACAGTGAATTCCTGAAACAAGATATCAAGTATCCTAACGCAGGATAATAAAATTGTGACTTCTCTTTTTTCAACACTAAGACATTTCAGGCTATGTTGTATACCACATCACACACGAATAATTACACACGTATGAACAGGAGGCTGACATAAGAAAATGGCCCTCTCACAGCACTGGACCACCCTCTCTCTGAATTATGAGAAGCTAAATACTTATATTTCACAACTTCCTTCTTTAAGCAGCTGTCACCTAAGGCTACTTTATTTCAAAACGTAATCTCGTTTTGAAAGTCATAGGATGCTTACTTAATCCTGAAATGGAACAATTCTTCTCCATTCTTGTTTCAAGTGATAATCGCTGCTTACCCACATACCTAGGAGGCTGTGGAGGCTCCTTCCAGTCACTGGGTATGAGGTTATAAATGCTCTCAGAAGGGCCCGTTGGATCCATGGCCACCATATGAGTCCTGAAAACTACTTAGCTTTTTTCTCACTATAGCAGTATCTCCATCCCTTTCTTCACAGCTTGTCTTTTCCTCTCCTACCCTCTTGCCTTCTCAAGGAACTAACATTTCTTTCACGCAATTCCCCCGTGACTTCTTCGCGTCCTCTCTCGGCAAGAAAGTAAAATACCCCTTCTACAACTCTTGGGCTCGTTTAGCTTTGTTGACGGAACGACTGCCGTGGAAACAGTAACTAGGCAACGAGAAGGTGGCGTCGCAATCTAGTTTTCCAAACTTTCGTCTTGCAAAGGCTCCTTTTCTGTCAGAGAAGCTCAACGTGAAAACCACAGTTTATATGTACCTTTGGGAGTAAAGGGGTGGAAAATGGAGTCCCCTTAAAAATGTTGCTCTTTTCTCTGTGTATTTGGGAAAAAAACATAAATTCTACCACAGACAGACTGGAAACCGTGCCGCTGTGCCGGCGTCACACTATACTCTCATCCACAGGCGTCAACCCTAGGGGGCGGGGCGAGCGACTGAGGCCACGCTGACGCACGTCCCACGTGAAGGATAGGACGAGGGAGGGCGGGGCCTAGGATCGAGTGGGTGAGGCGCAGGACGAGTCGGTTACCAGGTGCTGGGCAGCTCGGCGGTGGGCGTGGCGCGCGAACGGGGGAGGCCAGCCCTTGCGCAGGCGCAGAGGCCGCTGCGCGGGGTGGGGAGAGGTGGATCTAGCGAGGCTTGGGTCTTGGGCTGTGGGCCAGCAGGGGCAGGAGTCCGAGGTGCGGGACTTTGTCCCGAGGCGGCGCTGACGGCTCCCGGAAGCTCTTTCCCATTTCCTTTCCTTTCCCCCCGTCTTCACAGTGTGATTTCCTTGGTGAGTTATTTGAGGAGAAAGGGAAACTGTAGAATCAGTCCGTTCCCATCGCATGCCCTTTTCCGGTCCGTGTCTTCCCCTGTACGTTACTGGGCGGTGATCCCAGCAATCTGGCCGCGCCCGCCTTCCCGGCCGCTTGCGTCTCGGGCTCAGCTGTGCGGCCACCTGTGCGTGCGCTCAGGACCGCTCCCCTCGTCCTCCCCTCGGCCACCTGTCTCCCTTACTCTCGCGCCTCGCTCCTTCTCCCCCTGTTTACCTCTCTATCGGGCCCCTCCTCTTATAGGGCTTGACTTTGTTTTCTAAGCAAGCAGCCTAAACCAGAAGAATCCTTTTAAACAGGCCTTTGAATTTTATGCTCCTCCCTTTTTTCTGGCGTCCCTTTTTGAAAATAGTCTTGGGAGCCGTTTTATTCTGTTTGATCCGTGTGGTCTTCCATGAACTTACTGATTCCCATATTGACTGCGGAAAGACTCTCATTTAGAAGCCTTTGCCATCCAGAGGCTCTGAAAGACATTTTGGCAATATGGTTCTGACCAACCTTATAGAAGCCATTCTGCCCAAAAGGAGTAAGGATGCTTGAAGACAGGAGGCCAGTTTTGGGCCTGTCACTGCCAGGGTGTCCGGTGGTGCAGACAAAGCAGCATGGTAGCTTTGTTGACTTAAAAGAGTTTATAGGCTCTGCCTTCTGAGATGATCCATGCTCTGTGGAGTTTGTTTCTCACTAAATAAATCCAGTTCTTACCTAAAACAAAGTTTGCTGAATGTGTAGGTGCTTATCCTCTTGGGCTCTTGGTGAATTTCAGACGATAAGAATAAACTTAGTTTTTTCTTATCCAGTTGGTCAGGTTTCTATTTTTTTATCCCAGGCGTTTAACATTTTATTTCAGATGAATGGCACCTTGGGGTTGATGGTTCTGTTCTTCACATCAGATTTTCTGTTTACAAAATACTTGTATGTATATGCTACTTTGCCCTGTTTCTTTCCACTTTGAGTATTTCATGTTTTTGGTTATTTTTCCTTAGCTTGTGTAGAGAATAATTCTGTTCTCTATATGTGCTAAGATTTGAACTGAGGACTTGAAATGATAATAGTTAGCCAAATGGACAGTCCTTGGCCAAAGTTTATAACATGTCTAAGTAGACATTAAGGACTCTTTATGTTTATCAGTTCCTAAAAGAGCCAATAAGGGCAAACTAGATTTCTCTAGTTAGTAAGTACCCACTGGCCTCAGCTAGTCTTGACTTTCTGCTGTTACTGAATACAGTAATTTCACTGATGTCAGTATATTTATTATGGTTTTAAAAATACTGAACAGAATTTAAAGTCTCACTGTAGTGTATTTAGTATACAGTCTTAGTGAAGTTGTTAAATCATTTGGAAAGGAACTTTTTTCCCCTTTAGGTGTTTATCTGTAATTCTTGGCTTTTGAAAGCATGTTTACGAAGAATATGTTTCTGATTTTTTATAATTCACTCAAAATGTCAGTCCTGTTCAAGGAAATGCCTATGTTCAGTACGTCCACAGAGAATTAGTACTGGTATGCCATCAGAGGTAGTGAACCTTTTCTGTAAATGGCTAGATAATAGATATTTTAGGGCTTTGCGGGCCAGATGTATTCTTTTGAAACTACTCAAGTACTACCATTATAGCTCCAAAGCAACCAAAGACAATACCTAAGAAATGGGAAAAAAAAAAATGAATGAGCAAAGTTTTTTTCCCATGAAACGTAATTTACAAAAACAGGAGTGAGCTACAGTTGGTCTGTGGGTTGTAGTTTGCATAGACACCTTATATGAATGGTTGTACATACTAATTAGCTTTTTGTTTTTTTTTAACTAAGGATTATTTCAGTCTACTTAGATGAATAAAATGGTCAGAGGTGGGAGTAGAAATAGGACAACTGGGAAGAAAATAAGACATAAAAAAGACATAAAAAATAAGACATAAAAAAATAAGAAAATAAGACATAGTCTTCACAATATTTTTCTAAGTTATAGAATTACAAAGAGTACTTAATCATTTTAATTAGATACTCAAGACCTTTAAGAGAATATTTAATAGCAAAAGACTAACAACAGAAAAGGCTTAGTTGGCTTTGATTCTAAGATAAAGGCAAAGATGAGAGGTGAATTTGGAAAATGCTTTGATTGTAAGATCCCTGTGATTACCATGTGGCACTGAAGTGTGGGCCTTCCACCACGCTGTTTCAGTCAGCTAATTAACTGGAGGGCTTGTTTAGAGGATTTTTACGTATTAAAAGCAAAGCTTCTAACCTTCTGGTTAGTTTATATCCTAGTATATTTGCATTTTTTCTTATTACTTATGGGAAAACAACATTGCTGTGAAAATGCAGCAATTTTTAAGAATATTTTAAAACTTTAGAATATCTTCATAAAATAGTGGACTAGATTTAGTCATTCTTAGAAATTTAAATAGAGATTGTATTAAAACAGGATGACAAGGATAATCATTGCACAAATATTTTCAAAAGTTCATTGAACTTCTCATCATGAAATAATTTTTGAAGTACTGTGTCCTATGTTTTATTTTGGGAGAGTAATAGCAAATATTTTAAATGGGTGATAAATGCTGAATCATTTTCACTAAGTAGATTTTGAAAGTTTACCATTAGTATTGAAAACTAGGTAATTTTATAATGGAACTGAAATTTTCTGGACTATTTTGGAAGTAAAAATTGATGTGCTTATAATTTCAATTATCAATCATCTAGTGTAAGCATAGGAAAATATCACTGTGAATACTTTGCTAAAAGGTAATATGTATTTCTGGTTTAAAAATGTAACTTTGTTAGTATTCTTAGAAAATAATTTAAAAATGTGTTAAAAAGTGGTTTCTGTACTTTCTTTCCCTTGAAGTCTATATTCAGTTTTGATTAGCTTGCCACAGTAAAATTGTTAAAGTTCATACCTTGAGGTCACACAGTATTTAATATGTACATGTGGACATTCTGTTTGTTTTTTAAAGTTCTTGCTGTGATACACATCACTACCTTTTCATTTGTCTCTGACAAGGTCTTTTATGTCTAAGAATTATCTACTGGAACTAGTGGATCAAAAAACTACACTGGAAGCGACTAGTAAGAAAACCTGTTTAAAAATTATTAATGTGTAATGGAGTGGTATACATCTTCCATCCCCTGAGGAATTAGAGAGTTTACTAAAATACTTTTGTGTAGAACTTGGCTCTACGTCAATTATTTGCAAACATCAATGATTGAGTAAAGCCTTAGTACTTTAAGGTCGAGAGATTTGGTCTTTAAGTACTGGTTTTGTTTCTTGACTCTTACGTAATTGACTCCCATTGTAATTTGAAATAGTTCTGTTCTTGGGATGAAGAAAAATTGCCTATTCATGACCCCTTTACTGAAAAGCATATTAAAATATAAGTAAATGAAAAACACCTAATAATATGGCTTTGAATCATAAAGGAAAATGATTTGCAGTTGGTCCTCACTTTTCACAAGTTCTCTATTTGTGAATTCTACTTGCTCAAGTTTATTTATAACCCCAAATTAATGCTCACAGCACTTCTGCAGTCACTCATGGCCACATGCACAGTGGTGAAAAATTTGAGTCAGGAGATATGCATGTTTCAAGTTGGGGTCAGGTAAGGTGATGCTCTGCCTTCTTGTTTCAGCTTCTGCTGTAAACAAGGGTCTTTTTTGAATTCTATTTATGTGCCACATTTTTTGCATTTTTGTGCTTCCAGTTGCTGGTTTTCTTGTCTAAAATGGCCCCCAAGCAGACTGCTGAAGTGCTGCCTTGTGTTCCTAAGGCAGTGAGGCCACCAGGTGCCTTACAGAGAAAATGTGTGCGTTAGATAAGTTTCCTTCAGGCATGTATTAAAGTCTGAGTTCAGTGGTAATGAATCATTATGTATATATTAAATAAGATGTCTGTAAGCAGAAACACACATAAAACATTATGTATTGATCAGTTGGCAAAAATATTGTAACCAGAGGCTCACAAGAACCTAGGAATAGTATGTGTTTCTCCCAGAAGCAATGGTTCAGTATTCACTAATTCGTATTCATGGTGACTTGATAGACTTAACTACCATGAATAATGAGAACTGACTGTATTACCTCTTAAGTAAAAATTCAGTTTCCAGATAAATATTATATGCCATGGGCATTATTCCATCTTCTCTTGCCATTTGGTTTGCCTACAGTGGATGTTGAAACCCTAAAATTAGTTTGTGGCTGCATGTTACAAAACAAAATTTAGTATGTAACTTCTTTAATTTTCTTTAAAATGATAATATTTGTTACATGTTAAAGCACTTTATAAGCTAGTGTCAGGAAGATTTTTATGGTGAAATAATATTGATACTGAATTGATAAATTGAACTGTCACAATTTTCTACTTTGAATTCGTATAAAACAAAGGAAGAGTAAGGTTACAAAGGATAAGGTGAAGTTAATGTGCATTAACACTTGTCTTTTGCTTTTAATGGAGTTGGTGTTAAGCATTGTAGCAACCAACCTAAAGTGGAAAAGATCAGATAAAAAATTTAGTGTCCATAAAAATAAACCAGCTACTCAGGTAATACACAATTATTACCAATACACATATCAGAAATTTCTGCATTGGGAACTAAAAGAGATGATACTCTGTGATACTATAAGCAAAAGCTACCTGAATAGGAGATTAAGCAGGCTGCTTAATACAGTGTCCTCAAAATAATTAGTGTTAAAGAATTGTACCAAAATAAAAGTAGTTTAAGAAAAGAAATTGCTGATGGGGTTCAAGTGTATAGTTCTCTGACCCTTCGTTTACTTCAGGGAAAGGATTAACCTGCGCACACCATGTATGAGCGCCCCTTGTTTTCTCTGAAGGTTTGTAAACAAGGGCTTCCCTGGTGGCTCAGAGGGTAAAGAATCTACTTCCAATGCAAGAGACCTGGGTTCAATCCCTGGGTCAGGAAGTTCCCCTGGAGAAGGGAATGGCTACCCACTTCAATATTCTTCCTTGAAGAATTCATGGAGAGAGGAGCCTGGCGGGCTACAGTCCATAGAGTCGCAAAGAGCCAGACACAACTGAGTGACTAACACAGACTGACACTAGCCCCTTGTCTTCTCTGAAGGTTTATAAACAAACCAAACTATTTTAAAAACAAAAAGAAAGGCCTAGTTTTGTGCCTACATATTCTGATTCAATTTATAAGTTTTTAGTCTTTTAGCACTGAGTGACAGTGGTTAATATTACTATATAAATGAATATTCTTATGTGCCCATCACCGCGCTATATGGTTTGAATTTATTATAAATCATTTAAATAGCCAAGAGGTACCCATGTGTGGCAGACACTTTGTTTGCACTTTTTATAGGTGATATTACATCTAAATCATGATTCAGATGGATAAACAACCTAAAAGAGTAATTCAGATACTTATTTCATACTTTTCAGTCCACTGATTTCTTTCCATCTGATCACTGAACGTACAGTTAAATCATTAAAATTTTAGGTGTCATTGTGTAAACTTATATTTATCCTTTTGTTATAGTATCTTGTATATTACTTGATGGCAGAAATTCAGTACTGTTTAGTAAAATTCTTTCTTATAAGATACACATATTGGAAAATAGTATCTTAATCTTTCAATAATAGCTTTAGAGAACCATGAAAAGGGTCAGTTTATTATTTTTCTATACTTAAAAAATTCCAATTGAACATTTTAACAATAGGCTGTATGTGGAATTTTATGATATGATATGCAGTTATGATTAACTTCAAATTTTTTCCATTATAGACTCCACTTTTTGCAGACTGAATTTGCCTCAGCATCCACAAAGCTCAGATTGGTTCCTGTGTGTTTTCTGTTTGCAAGTCAGTGGTAGTTAAGCATATACCAGCTGAAAAGCCAGATAAGGAAATGCATTCTTTCTCCCAGCAGTTCTGAGTTAACTTGTAAGTTAAATTCAGTGTAAGCTGAAAATGGTTTAAATGTTTTGTTAGAGAACACAGTTTGAGTAGCATGAATGATCACAGTAGTAAATAACGGAAAGTTTTCAGAACATGTCTAAACACACCATCTAACGTTTAATACGGCTTAGTTGCCTATTGGTTGTACCACGAAATATGTGGAAAGTCTCACTACATGCCTGTAAAGTTACTCTAGTCACTTTAAATAAATATCGTAGCAGTTATTAAATTGTACTTTACGTATGACTAAACATCTCACCTGTCTGGCAAACATCTGGTGTTGTAATGGTGAGTGTATTTCCAAAGACAGGAATTGACCAGTATGGGGAATTACAGGGCTTCTCCAGATGCCAGCATGAGTTTGTCCGCTTATCAATGGAAACATTCCTGAGTTGTTTTGCTATCACTCTGGAGTCTGGGATTTGAGTTGTGTCTCCACTGGTGATGTTTATAGGATAGAAATGAAAGTGATGGTCTGAGTCAGAGAAAGTTACAGGTCTGTAGCCTTTGAGTTTGCTGTCGATTATCCATTTTCCTTAAGTATTTACATAATGTTATATCTTTCACTAGCTTTTTTTTTTAAGCTAGTTGAAAAACATGAAAAACATGCAAGAATGATTTTTAACAGTATGCATGTAAAAGACATATAAGAAAGAAAAGGTCATACCTTTGTTCTATAGTTTGGAAAATTATTTAAGCATTGTATAAGCAGATATTTTATTCTGGTTTGTTGTGAATTCTTTGACTAAGAAAATTGTGAGTAACATGATAGTCTATCAACATGTTCATATAACTCACAATGAGAAATATGGAGATTATTCAGCTTTTTGAATTGCAAGTATATAGCATTCCAACTCCAAGTAATCCTTATTTACTTGGGTTACGAACCATGAGATAATTTTCATTATAGGAAAAGAAATAGTAATTTGATTTAGTATCTTTAAAAAAAGTATCTGTGATACAACATTTTTGGAATGAAGTTTCTGTTGCTCATAGTTACAAATTGTTAAAGTTTTGATTAGTCATTGTCTTAAGACTTGAAAAGATTACTAAAAAGTTAATATGCAATATGTGAGAATTTAGGTTTGGATAATTTTTTAAATGCCATATAAAATTCAGAAGAATTTTAAGTTTATGTACTGTGGGCATGATTCTACTTAATCCTATTGGTATGTTAAGCCTATTGAAATTAGTAACCAAATGTCTTTCCTTGTCTTTATGTTTTGAAAAGGGCCAAAGCCAGTTTTTCTGTTGGCTTGGGCAGCAAAGTGAAAAGAGAATGCTCCACTTGAAGCAATGTCAGCATCTGAAACAGATAACTCAGAAATGCTTGTCTCGCATCCATGTGAAAACAGATAAACATCCACAGCTATTTCTTTCAAGAACCTTTGCGCTTGCGGAATTAAGGAAGTCATGGCATTCCATCTACTCACTTGTTGGAGACAAAAATATTATCCTGATGGGACCTCCCGGTGCTGGGAAAACAACAGTAGGCAGAATAATAGGCCAGAAACTGGGTTGTTGTGTCATCGATGTGGATGATGATATCCTTGAAAAAACCTGGAATATGAGTGTGTCTGAAAAATTGCAGGATGTTGGTAATGAGCAATTTTTAGAAGAGGAAGGAAAAGCCGTGTTAAACTTCTCTGCATCTGGAAGTGTGATTTCCCTTACTGGGTCCAACCCAATGCATGATGCTAGCATGTGGCATCTAAAGAAAAATGGAATAATTGTTTATCTGGATGTACCTCTACTAGATATAGTCAGTCGTCTAAAATTAATGAAAACAGATAGGATTGTAGGTCAGAATTCTGGAACCTCTGTGAAAGACTTACTTAAATTTAGAAGACAGTACTATAAGAAGTGGTATGATACTCGTGTTTTTTGTGAAAGTGGGGCTTCCCCAGAGGAGGTAGCCAACAAAGTGCTGAGTGCAGTTAAAAGATACCAAGATGTGGATTCAGAAACATTCATTTCCACAAGACACATTTGGCCTAAAGACTGTGAACAGAAAGCTCCAATGAAATTCTTTAGTGAAGCTGTGATTGAGGGGTTAGCTTCTGACGGTGGACTTTTTGTTCCTGAGAAGGAGTTTCCAAAGTTAAACTGTGGGGAGTGGAAAAGCCTGGTAGGAGCAACATACATAGAAAGAGCACAGATACTTCTGGAAAAATGTATACATCCTGCTGACATACCTGCTGCCAGGCTGGGAGAAATGATTGAAACTGCTTATGGGGAAAACTTTGCCTGCTCAAAAATCGCCCCTGTCAGGCACCTGTCAGGCAACCAGTTCATCCTGGAGTTGTTTCATGGACCAACAGGATCATTTAAAGACCTGTCTTTACAGCTCATGCCCCATCTTTTTGCACACTGTATTCCACCAAGTTGCAATTTTATGATACTTGTAGCCACCTCAGGAGACACTGGAAGTGCAGTCTTAAATGGCTTTAGTCGTCTTAATAAGAATGACAATCAGAGAATAGCCGTGGCCACATTTTTTCCTGAAGACGGAGTCAGTGATTTTCAAAAAGCACAAATAATTGGCAGTCAGAACGAAAATGGATGGGCAGTAGGTGTCAAATCAGATTTTGATTTCTGCCAGACGTCTATAAAAAGAATTTTTCAAGATTCTGATTTTACTGGCTTTCTTGCTGTGGAATATGGAACCGTCTTAAGTTCAGCTAATTCCATAAACTGGGGCCGACTGCTTCCCCAAGTAGTTTATCATGCTTCTGCATACCTTGATCTCGTTAGCCAAGGATTTATTTCTTTTGGAAGCCCAGTTGATGTGTGTATTCCCACAGGAAACTTTGGTAACATTTTAGCAGCAGTGTATGCCAAAACCATGGGAGTCCCTATTCGAAAATTTATCTGTGCTTCTAATCAGAACCATGTTTTGACTGATTTTATAAAAACAGGACATTATGATATAAGGGAAAGAAAACTAGCACAGACCTTTTCACCAGCAATTGATATCCTCAAATCTTCAAACCTGGAACGACATTTACACCTGATGGCTAATAGAGATGGACAGTTAATGAGAAGACTGTTTAATCAACTAGAAGAGGAGCATCACTTTCAGATAGAGAAGATCCTAGTTGAGAAACTTCAGCAGGATTTCGTGGCCGACTGGTGCTCTGAGGGAGAGTGCCTGGCAGCGATTCACTCCACCTACAACACTTCGGGGTACATTTTGGACCCACACACTGCTATTGCGAAAGTAGTTGCAGACAGAATGCAAGACAAAACTTGCCCAGTGATCGTCTCCTCTACAGCTCATTACTCCAAGTTTGCACCTGCTATCATGCAGGCTTTAAAGATTGGAGAAATCAACCAGACTTCATCAAGTCAGGTTTACTTACTAAGTTCATACAATGCCTTACCTCCACCACATGAGGCTTTACTAGAGAGAACAAAACAGCAGGGGAAGGTGGAGCACCAGGTCTGTGCAGCTGATGTGAATGTCCTGAAGAATCACGTGGAAAAACTTGTACAAAATCAATTCATATGAAAGTTTCTGAGTAAAAGAAAAATTCTGGTGAAAAGCATGCAGTAATAAATCACAAAAGTTGATTTTGAGTACAAATAACATTTTGTTTTTTATGTAAATATGTCTATACATAGATGTTATCTTTTGGAATTTCAGTAGCATCGTCTCTAGGTCTGTCTATTGTCCCTACACGTGCTCCTTGGATCCTTAATCTAGAAGTGACAGAAAGTAGCATAATGCATGGACCCTTGTGCTGTGTTCTGCACCCATGAGGGATATATCAGTTTCTCCTCCTTCACCCCCACTTTTAAATGGACCAAAATGTCTCCTACTCTGACACTTAAAATATTTCAGCATAGCTGTAACATAGTCTATCTGTAACCATTATTAGTTCTTTATTGACTAGAAAGATAATTTACACTCTAATGGTTAACTTATTTGGAAGAAGTAGTAAGCTCATCTATTAAGAAATGGCTGGCATTTTTTACTCTCCTCAGATTCCATTTTGGACTATAGTTAATTAAGTGGATCCTACACCATCTGGATTAGATAAGTGTTCCAGCTTTCACTCCCCTTGGGGTGTGTATAGTTAAGGTGATGTAGTTTGAAAATCAAGACCCCCCCCCAAAAAAAAAATCAAGACCCAAGATTTAAATCTGATGTGATCATCAACAGAACTACCTAGTAGTAGATATAGAAATAAAATTACATATCTGTTTCAAGAGAAAAGCTTTCCAAACTTCAGAGTATTTGAATAGTCTTAAGAGAAGTATGGTTATAGTTATAGCAGTTTTCTTGTATTATTTGGACTCTATTCCTATATAATTTGTCTGTTGTCTTTTTTTTTTCAGTGAACATTGCCTTTTGGCAGCTAAAACCACATGCAATTGATGCACATATTTAGTGTTTCCTTTGTAGTAGCAATACATTATAATCATGATTTCCATTTGTGAATTTCTTGGATGTTTTATTTCTGAATTAAAAGATTGTCATTGAAAGGACCTGTTAGTGTAATGGACTACTCTCAACCACAAGATGGCATTCCTAACATAATTTGTCTTTGCTGATAACATTCTGCTTCATTTTCTGGGAGAACTGCCTCCATAAAGAAACATGTTGCAGGTTGTCAAGAAAAAAATTGTAAAAGTTTAATGAGCAGAAATGATTCGTTTAAAAATTTAAAAAATTAAACCAACTATATTAACTTTGGATCTCCAGCTTCTAAAAAGTACATTCTAAAACCAAAACTTGAAAACCAAGAGCAGTTACAAGAAAATAATGGAGGATTCAAAGTTCACTTATTCATGTATGTCTTAGTTATTTTATCATATTTTTTTAAGGATAAGTGTTTCAGTAGCCAATATGTTTAGAAAATACATGTAAATTTTCCTATGTGTATGAAAATGCACTATTTTTCTGAAAGTGGGAGGGACAGTTTTGTTTTGTTTTTAAAAGACATGATTTTTGCCCACATGATTGTAGTGAAGGAGACAATGTGTAAAATTGAATCAGGTTCAACATAGAAGTTATTGCAAGACAGTTTATGAGAAAGTAAAAAGTAAGGGATATAGTCAAGAGCTGTCAGATTACCATGGGCCAATCAGAAAAGGCGTCACAGAAGACACAAGCTGCAGTGAGTCCTGAAGGATGTCAAGATTTTCTAGGTGAAAAGGAAGGGGAAGTACATTATAGGCAGACAAGGGAAATAGTTACAGTGAGTTGCTCAAGAGAGCACATTCCTTTATCTCCAGTTGGTTGGTTCTCTTATTTCATGTTTTCACTTTTTCTTAATACCAAGTGTAGCCCTTCCCTCTCAGCTAATGACCTTGCCTTAGTCAAGAGGAAATAAGCCATCAGTGAAGACATGGCTTCCTATCACCAAGTGTCTGAATCTGCTGTGCCTGTTTGTCTCCTCTCCTGCTCCCCCTGGATTGAATTGGGTGATATTCCTTCAGGAGTGTCTTGGCTTCTGTTCCTGTCAGAATACTCCCGTCACTTGCTTCATCAGCTATCTCCTCTAGTGCTGCTTCAGCTTCTCCCCTCTGATGGGACCATCCTTTCTATACCATTCGGATGCTCTCTTTTCACATCTTAGAAAGTGTAAGAGCAAAACAAGTCAACAGCCACATTCCCCCACCATCTACTCTTTTACTTATGTTCCATTCAAGACCCAGCCTCTTCGAAAAGAGTTGTCTACCCGTGTCGTCTCCACTTCCTTGCCTCTTATGTTCTCCAGAATGTGTAAAGTACGTGTACTGTTCAGGGAGGAGTAATAGAACACATATGTGCTGCTCCCCACTTTGCTTTAAGAGTGAAACATACCTCGTGTTTGACACCTGCTGTGGCTCCTATTTGATTATCTTCGCTTCTCTCCCTCAGAAGTAACCACTATCCTAAATTTTCTCTTTATCATTTCCTTGTTTGTATGTACAGTTTTGCCTCTTTTTAAATTTTATGTAAATGGAATCATACTATACATATTATTCCATGACTCTCTTTTATTCAATAGTTTTAAAATTTAACCATGCAGATGACAGAAGGCAGAGTTCATTAATTTTAATTACTGTATAATTTATAGAATGAATGCCACAGTCTATCCATTTATGTTAGTGGACATTAAATGGTCTAATATTTATCTGTACTTGCATCCAATAGGTATACTGTTTCATAAAATTTGTATTGAAGGCTAGTGAAAATGAACTTCCAAACATCTGTGATTCTTTCTAATGGTATATAAAAATGTATTTCATATCTTAGCTGTATTAAAATAAAAATGTGTGGTTTGTTTATAATATGAAAAATTATCTGTTCTTGAACAATGGTTATAATTTCTTGCTTCTCCAATCTTTGAAATTATTTTACAGTGTCAAAAATATGGTGAATTTGTAAGATTTTTAATTGGATATCAGTGAAAATAGTAAAAATTTTTTTCATCAAAATAGAGTTTAGGAGGTAATAGATTGTTCTGTTTGAAGTTTTTGTTAGATTTTAATAGCAATTCACTTCCAAAAATGATAATGGCAAATACTGTTTCTCTCAATCCATTAGATCATTTAAACATTTTGTAATTCAGACTACTTAAAACATTAAGAAAAAAAGTAGCTGTTTTCACATGAGCCTCAAACTAATGGGAACATAAATAATAGAGTTTTGTGTAGGAAGATGATTAAAGCCTGATGATTAAAACCTGTGTATGAAATAGTTATTGGTGTGGGCCCTGCCTGTGTACTCCAGCCACTCTTTGAAACTTTAAAAACTTAAAAATCAAACAGCCTCCTTTAAAATCAGAGGTAGAATAAGCTCCTCTGGTTCAAAGAAAGCAAAGTCAAGCAAATTGTTGTGTTATGGAGAAGGGACCTGTCAAACACAGGAAACCAAACCAACATCATGTACAGCAGTTCTCTGCTCAGTTGGCAAGATTTAGACCAGAGGCCTGTATCAAAAAGTTGTTTGCTTCCTACAGAAGGTGTATTACTCAGTTCAGCTATTTTTCTATCTAAACTCTTTATTGCTTGCTGTCTGAATTCTTGGGTCTTTATTTCAGTGGTGGTAACAGTTGTCTTGAGCTGAGGTTCCATGTTCAGATGTGGTGCTACTTGTTCAGTTATTATCATAGACTGTATTGGGATTGTAATGGCCTATACAATGCAGGTTGCTAATGGCACGTTTAGTTTCACTTACAAATATTAGGAGGGTTTATAATTTTAAGTTACTTAAATCCACAAGGGGCTATTTTAAATCAATTTTTATATTTGGTGATGGAGCCCTGAAATTATTTGTTTTGAATTTTATTTACAAGGCTCAAATCAAATAGTTGAAGTTTTCAGAAAATAATTTTACTTGCTCTTGATGCTACCTTTTTTTCTGGAACTCTCTCCAATCAGATTTTAAATATAATTGGCTGACATAATATTAGGAAAAGGAGTACATCAAAGGCTGTATGTTGTCACCCTGCTTACTTAACTTATATGCAGAGTACATCAAGAGAAACACTGGGCTGGAAGGAGCACAAGCTGGAATCAAGATTGCCGGGATAAATATCAATAACCTCAGATATGCAGATGATACCACCCTTATGGCAGAAAGTGAAGAAGAACTAAAGAGCCTCTTGATGAAAGTAAAAGAGGAGAGTTAAAAAGTTGGCTTAAAACTCAACATTCAGAAAACTAAGATCATGGCATCTGGTCCCATCTCTTTATGGCAAATAGATGGGGAAACAGTGGACACAGTGGCAGACTTTTTATTTTTCTGGGCTCCAAAATCAGAGCAGATGGGATTGCAGCCATGAAATTAAAAGACGTTTACTCCTTGGAAGGAAAGTTATGATCAACCTAGACAGCATATTAAAAAGCAGAGACATTACTTTGTCAACAAAGGTCCATCTAGTCAAGGCTATGGTTTTTCCAGTGGTCATATATGGATGTGAGAGTTGGACGGTGAAGAAAGCTGAGCACCGAAAAATTGATGCTTTTGAACTGTGGTGTTGAAGACTCTTGAGAGTCCCTTGGACTGCAAGGAGATCCAACCAGTCCATCCTAAAGGAGATCAGTCCTGAGTATTCATTGGAAGGACTGATGTTGAAGCTGAAACTCCAAATACTTGGGTCACCTGATGCGAAGAGCTGACTCATTTGAAAAGACCCTGATGCTGGGAAAGATTGAGGACAGGAGGAGAAGGGGATGACAGAACATGAGATGGTTGGATGGCATCACCGACTCAATGGACATGAGTTTGGGTGAACTCTGGGAGTTGGTCATGGACAGGGAGGCCTGGCATGCTATGGTTCATGGAGTAGCAAAGAGCTGGACACAACTGAGTGACTGAACTGACTGACTGACATAATATTTAAACAACTGCCAAATCAAGATGGGTCATTACCAGAAAATACATCATTTCTTGTAAATTTCACATCTGTGTAGGGTTCTTCTCTATTAAAGTCATGTAATTTAATCCTAAAAGATCTGAATAGCGTATTTATTCACAGTATTCTGTATATTTTCCAGAAAAAGAGTCATCAGGTCAAAAGGTATCCCCTTTTCCCTTCAGTGTTGTAGCCTACTATGAAGAAATACAGAACATCTTTCTCTTGAGAAAAGTTGAGTATAACTATTTTACTGGCAGCAGAAAGAAGGAAAATATTAGCTTAAATTGGGTCAAGAGGATAAAATTTTTACTGGCCAAAAGTCATACCAAAATTAAAAGTCATACTGAAATGAAACAAAATTTTAGGGAGAAAACAAACCTAAAATATCCTTTGAAATATGCAGGTCCTTCTTGTCAAAGAGGGGAAAAATCACATGTAGGAGATTTGTGATTTGTAAAATGATTACAAATTGTTTGATTTTTTTCCAAGGCCTCAGAAAGGGAGAGAGTGCCTAGATGTGGTCTCCAGAGTGAGAGGTCCAGAAATTAAATTTTGTTCATGTACACAAAGTTGCACAGATTGAGATTTTATCTTCTGCTAGTCACATTTGTAAGTTAATATAAACTAAAATGTACATTTATTTATAATTGTTGATGTGTTTTTCCAGTGACCACAGATTTGGTCTTTTCTACCCAAGATTCTTCATTCCTTATATGAAGATATCTAGGAGACAGTAGTTCATTTGGCAAATATGAAGTCAAACCACAGAAAGAAGGATAGTTTTCAGGGATATTTCACTCACAATTATCTGATTTGTCAAACAACATAGAATACCTCTTCAGTAAACAGAGTATTCTTCCCTGTTTGACCCAAGGTGATTCTTCTCTGAACAGTGCTAAATATATACTGCCAACTTTTGATCTTTGGATCATTACTCTGCAAGATGACACACTCTGGGTGAATATGCACCTTTTCCAGATTTGTTACAAAGCAAAAAAATTCATAGTCTCAATCCCTGAGAAGCTTATGGAGAATTTAGGCAAGTAATTCAACTTAACTATAAGAGCATACAGTAAATACAATCATCAGGACCAGCCAGAAACTTGGTGTACCCTGAGAAAGCTAAGTTAGATATTTGGTTCCCATTCAAACTGATACTCTCTAAGTATGTGTTGCACTTTTCTTTTGGAGCGTGACTACAGTTTTCTCACAGACTCCCATGCCACAAACACTGCAGCGAAGGACAAAGAGGGACACCTTCTGGCAGAGGTTACCCTCTCCTGTGCTGTCCTAAGCAGCTCAACTCTGGCAAAGAGAAATGAGTGCAAGTTGCTCAGTTGTGTCCAACTCTTTGCGACCCCATGGACAAACCTTACTAGCAAAACAAAAACATGGAAACTAACCAAACTCATCCTCTTTGAAAGGCAGTTTAGAAACCCCTTATTGCTACTCAAGCATATTCTCGGGTCTTCTCACCTTCTAATTTCTAGAAGCTTGTCAGTAATCCTAAGCGCCAATCGTATTGATAAACACTATCTTTTCTTCCTGCAATATTCCTGTGTGTATGTGCTCAGTCATGTCTAACTCTTTGCAACCCCATGGACTGTAGCCCACCAGGTTCCTCTGTCCATGGGATTTCTCAGGCAACAGTACTAGGGTGGGTTGCCATTTCCTTCTCCAGGGGATCTTCCCAATCCAGGGACTGAACCCTTGTCTCTTGTGTCTCCTGCACTGCAGGTGGATTCTTTACTGCTGAGTCACCGAGGAAGTCCTGCAGTGTTCCTAACAACATGTAAATCTTTGTGAAGACTGGTGCCCTGGCCCACTGCCTGGCTGGCTCTTCCCTAAATCACTTCAAGCCATGGTCATGTTTTAGACCTGGGGCTATGGGATGGAAGTAAAAAAGACAGACATAGAGATCAGACTGAGGGATCAAAGAAGGCATTCTAGAGGAGAGACTCACAGGTGAGTCAAAGTTTAAAGGTTAGGTTACAGTTGATATAGGTGAATTGGTGAGCAGAGGGAACAACATAGTGGGGAGTGCTGGATGTATCACTCAAATTGCCTGGAACAAAATGTGTATGTATGGGTTTGTGAAGATGAAGCTAGAAAATCAGGCATGATCCATGAGTTTTCATGTGTCTGAAAGCTAAGAGATATCACTTATGGTAACATAAGTTTACTTGCCATAAACTTACAGTAAGTAGAATACCACAGTCAACACTTGATTTAGAAAGATTGTGCTGGCAATTGCGTGGGGTAGATAGAAGGGAGTAGACTCGCAGACCTAAGACTCATAAGGAGGCCAGAGTATGGACTGCAATGGTGGAACCTAAAGGAGTGAGCAGTTTCCAGGAATACTTAGGACATTGCTTTATAGGATTTGGTGACAGATTAAAGGAGAGGGGCATGGAGAAGGATTAGGGTTTATAACCTAGTGGGATGGTTTTACTATTCACAGAAATAGAAAGCTGTGCAGAATTTGTTATGAACAGAGTGGAGAGGAGCTGGTGATGGTTTT